TCTGAAAAGCATTCTGTACATGTTTTATTTATAAGTGAACTTTATAAAAAATTCATTAACATGGAGAATTGAGATTTGAAGTTTATACTTATACAGGGTGGTCCGAACTGTATTCCGGAAACTTCGGCAGCATATTCTGCAGATAAAAATAAGTAAAAGAGTTCTTATAAATATATGTCCTAAAATGCTTAGTTTCGGAGATACAGGGTGTAGAAGTTTCATTTTTATTTCGATTTTTTCCAAATAATTTTAACGTCAAAATTTGGATGAAATTTAGTGTCTGGGAGTTTTTTAACATGAGAAATTTGATTTTGATGTCAATATGATTCCTACTAGTAGAGGGCGCCACCTACATATTTTTAACTGGTTTGAAGAGTAGTAAGTAACCTTTCGTCCGTACCTGTATAAAACTACTGAGTAACAAATATATATTTACGAACTTTTTTACGTGAAGAAGGTCTCTTGGTAAAAATTGCTACGAGTAATGGTTTTCGAGATATTTGGAATCGAAATTATCAATACCTGTCATCATTGACATAAATTAAACATGTTGACTAAATAGTTATTAGACTGAAATCATAAATTTGAAAAGTTTTTGTGCCAAAAGTCCAACAGAAACTGTTTTATCATCATTTTTTGCAGAAAAATTTATGATTGATTTAAAAAATTAAAATTTCCCAAATTTATTATTTCAGTGAAATAACTACCTATCTACTCAACGTGTTTATTTTTCGTCAATAATGACATGTATTGTCTATTTCCATTCTAAATATCTTAAGAACGGTTTCTCGTAGCGATTTTTATAAGAATAATAGCTCCCGTATATAGCGTTTAACGCCTTGGGAGTAGCAAGGTACAGCTTGCTATACTAGAGCCGTTCGGTATACAAGGAAGGTAATGTGGCTAGCACTACGCTTCAACCGCCTATTATTACCTCAGGATTGTGAATCCCAAGTAGGCTGAGTCGACCTAGGTACCCAAACTAATTTTATTTTAATAAAAATAGTCGGCTGATGAAATGCCGGGTGTGGGAATCGAACCCACACCTTGAGATTGGTAGACGAGAGCCTGTACCTCTACGCCACCGGGCACCTTCGTAGCGATTTTTACAAAGAGATATTTTTTACGTAAAAAGTCACAGAGATGAAGGTATATTTTTTCGCTCGGTAGTGTTAAACAGGTACGAACAAAAAGTTATTACGTTTCAAAACAGTTAAAACACATGCAGGTGGCGCCCTCTACTAGTAGGGGTCATATTGACACCAAAATCAAATTTCTCATGTCAAAAAACTCCCAGACACCAATTTCCATCCAAATATTGACGTTACTTCAGAAATTATTTAGAAAAAATCGAAATAAAAATAAAACTTCTACACCCTGTATCTCTGAAAGTAAGCATTTTTGGACATACATTGATACGAAATTTTTTACTTATTTTTGTCTGCAGAATATGTTGCCGAAGTTTCCGGAATACAGTTCGGACCACCCTGTATATGTATATTTGACTTTTTATTACAAAAATGTTGTAAACAGAAATAAATAAATATTTTTTATTATGATGAATTCAAATATGTATAAGTATAATTTTTCTAAAATGGCACAATGTTTCTGTGTCATATACCTAGCCGCTCCGCTGTGCGACAGTAGCAAAAATGCTACACCATATGTGTGAAAAAAAAACAAGTGTGTTTATAAAATTTAAAAAAAAATGATCAAAAAATATAAGTTTTACAATAGACACTCTGACATTATCCAACCTCATACCGCATTGCACCTTTTTGCAATTTTCACTGCAGTTGTGTTCGTGATGAAATGGCATTTTTCAATTCTAAAAAGAAATCTTAACTCGATCTCATTAAAAAGTAATATTAAAATGAAAATTAATTAATGACACACCTAATTTGCATAATGTCCTTCGTTTAATTGCCATGTTTTAGATGTCGATGTCGACTTTACTTGTTTGTAGCGTCTTCAAATTTTATAACCGGAATTTTATAGTTAAGTTTTACTAATAAAATCCAGAATATAAAAGTATTATAACAGCAGAAGTATCGTCTTCCGCTTACGTTACTAATTGGAAATAACATATACAGGGTCACGTTAAAAAGCAAGCCCATCATAATTCATATAATGTTAAATTTTATTCTTTAAATACCGGGTGCATCAGCGGCTCATCCCTATAACTTTTTTATTTTTTTCAGATAATAAAACGAGATTTGGTATGTTAGTATATATGATATAAATTAGGATTGACTGACGTATTCAATTGTTTTTGGTCACTTCCTGTTTTACCGGAAATGACTACAATTTTTGATTTTTAAATGACACCCTCGGTATTTTTTACTTTACTCGATACAAAATGACATTCTGAGTAGCATGACATATCATACGTCAACTTTTGACATTTTCGCATATGGTTTATTTGAAATTGCAACATGCGGTTCATAACGACAATCGGACTCGAAATACCAAGTGTGTGGTACCAAATTATTCGTAAAAAATGCTTTTTCCAAATATGCTAATGAGCCACCCTTGATCCATTTAAAAAATTGAGATATGATTAGATATGATTTAACCGGCCAGGACAAAACACGAAAAACATTATACGATCAAATCTACTTTTCCAAGTCCAAGGCCCCTTGATTAAAAGTTAGTGTTTTTAAAACGGCCATGGCACTCTAGACTGAAATTTAAAATACGATTTTTTAAGCGAAAATGGCAAAAGTTGACATATGATATGCCATTCTATACCGAGTGTCATTTTCTATCGAATAAAGTAAAAATATACCAAGGGTGCCCTTTTAAAAACCAAAGTTGGAATCATTTCCGGTGAAACAGGAAGTGACCAAAAACAATTGAATAGGTCAATCAATCCTAATTTTTATGTCATATACTAACATACCAAATCTCGTTTTTTTATCACTTTTGAAACGCACCCGGTATAAAATATTTAAGTAATAATTAAAAATACAAAAAATATACTTTTTATAAAGCTATAAAAAGTTTTTATAGCTTAAAAAAGACGCTGTTAGAAATATCGATTTGGAGAAAATTTCTTTTCATAATGTCATCGTTCCCTGTAATTTCGAGGATAATTAACCATCTCTTGTGTAGGACAGGCTTGGATATTCTTATTATTTATTCATTTACTCTATATTTGCGTAATCTAGATGAGATAATGCGCTAATATGCTCTCTATAGCGGTATCGTTACTTAACCTAATTAAGTAGTGTTAATGAAAAAAAGTAATTATCAGTACATACATATTGGGCTGATAGTAAATTGTAATTTTCAGTGGATACTTGTTATACATCGAAAAAATGATCAAAACATACACGACTTTAAGAAAATAGAATAATCAACAAAAATAAAAAAATATACAGGGTGGCGCGTTTCATACCACGTGGAGGCTCCAAGGAGGACGGTAGTTTGTATCAAAATAAAATTTTGGGAGCATATTACCGGGTGTATGCACACTGTATATGTACACTGTATAAAACACTGTATGTACACTGTATAAAATAATTCTCTTTTCAAAAGATCTTGAAGCATATGTGGTCAATGTGGTCTAATTCGAAAAGCAGCCACATTTATTACTCTCATGATGTCGATAATAGTTGGTCGAGTTTTGTAAACACTGTCTTTAACATATCCCCATAAAAAAAACCAGAATAGATAAAATCAGGTGCATTTAAGCATTCTATGAATTGGTTAATGCACACTGCAGTCACCAATTAAGTGAATCAAATCAATTATCTCTGTAATTGAAAATAAGTCTTCATTTTCGGCAAATTTCTGAGAATTTGTTTTGTTTTAGCTATATAGCACAAAATGATAACTAGTTAACGTCAGGCATATCACAGCCGCCTAGATTTCTATCAAATAATAAAGATCCACACTAAATCATAAAAATGAAAATATCTAGGAAAATCTTTGAGGGGTAGGCAACCTTAACAGTGTTTTGAAAAGACATGAATTCTCCACTGAATATCGGAATAATATACTGGGTGTTCGATTTAAAATAAAAGAAGTAACTTGTTTTTAAAGCTGACCAATGATCAAATTTTGTCTCACCCTGTATAACTTTTTGGGTCAAGTTTTAAATTGATTTATAGTACAATAGTAATTTTAACTACATATTGGGCTATACCGGGTATATTCCAATTTAGGTAGCGTTTATTGAAATTTAAAATATGTTCTTTATTTTTCTTCTGGAATCTTAAAATCGAATAATATGTAGGATATTATAAAAACACAACTTTGTATACTGTGTATACCCACTGTATAAATGTTAACTGTAACTCTGTATAAATTGCTATATTTTTAAAAAAATGGTCTGAATTAACCTACATAAGCTCACAAAAGTTCATTTCAATACAAATTGTCGTTATCCATGGAGCCTCCGCGTCGTATGATTTTAGCACGCTACAGTTTATATAAAAGACCTACAGATATAGACCATTGCAGATATTCGATTCATGCAGTTGCCTTTGCGGAAACAATTGAAATGACAATAAGTTTTTGAATAAAACCAACAAAAATTAACAAAAAACTACAAGAAAGAACAAAAAATCCACAAATTGAAAAAATAAAAATCTATTGATCATTACAAAATCATGCAGATGCCCGGCTATCTACAGCAACAATTGAAACGACAAAACGTTTTTAAATAGAACCAAAAAGAAGAACAAAAATTTAACATAACGTCTACACGAAAATTAAATAAAAGATCCATAAATTGTAAAAAATAAAGATCTATTGATCATTACAAAATCGTGCAGATGCGTAGCTATCTACAAATGACAATAAAAACGAAACAGAATATCCTATAAACATCGGACAAGCAAAAACCAGTTGGGCACTGAATAAGAAGTGACACGTTTCGTTCATCTGCCAGTCCATAATATGGACAGTAAAAATATCGCTTCTGATTCAATACAAGAATTTAGTAATCCTTAATTCTCTACGGAACAGTCATTTCAGGAAAAAAACTAAGTCACCTTGGTAATCGAGTCGCTAGCGTGCACAGTCGTTGTCGACGGCGCCATTTTGACGACTGGACGGGGAGCTGACACGTCGGGCAACGAACCACCCCGAAAAGTGCCGAGCCCTGGGCCCTGATGCGCAGGTCCGATGCGCAGTGTATTTTTATTTTGAGCAGCGCAGTCGATGCGAGGCGAACCAACCTGTAACAGCACTCACATCGGTATGCCGATATAGCAGGGACGTCCATAACTATCGATATATCAAAAAATCGATGTTTTCGATCAATTGATTTTTATTACAAGGAATATACACTCACCGGTACGAAAAACGGGCACCTTAAAATTTTGATGTATTTGAAGTCTTATGGTGCGTTTAGACTTGAGCACGCACGAGCTGAGCGTGCGCGCACGGTATTCGTTCGCGCTCTCGGCTCCGTTCAAATTAAAAACTTATTTTTCGACGAATGAAGTGATCCATTTGTGCGCGCACAGCAGAGTTGTGTTGGCGAAAATAATGGACGACCAAGCGATGCACAGCTTAATTATTAAAAAGGAAAAAAATCGAAAACATCGTCGCTGGTGGCAAACCCAAATTTTTAGAAATCGATATAATTTACTGCAACAACGTAGTGTCTAAGGAGGGCTATGATAAGTTCAAAAACATTACAAGAATGACCAGACCCGACTTTGAATATTTACAAAATTTACGAACAAAAGATACAAATTTTAGAAAGCGTACTTCTTCATACCAGACAATTCTATTGTCTGATTCCCTTACTTCTCGACTTGACTAAAAGATGGCGCCTGAAAAAGTCTTTTAATTTCTGGCGGATACGTTGCGGTTGTGCAGGCAACCAGTAATACATTTTTAATTTCTGGCGGATGCGCCATTTTTCTTGACATTATTCTTCAATTAATAATAACGAATATTCATTGATGCACTCCATAATTTTAATAAACAAAACGAAAAAAAATCACACACGCACGCACGAACGCAGACAAAACAAATCGCCGGTGCAAACTAAGCATTCGCGCACACATAAAATCCCTTTGAGTACGGACCAAAAACCGACACCAGACGTTCGCGGTTGCTCGCGCACAGACAGATTCAGAGTGAGCGTGCGCTCACAGCCGTTTACACTTGAGCATTCGCGGAGGATCAGTGCGTGCGTGCTCAAGTCTAAACGCACCATTATAGATATATTTTGTTCTAAGTTCTAGTTGGCCGATTTTGATGATTATTTAAGCAATTTGTAGCTAAATTATTTGGCTGTTTAGTATCTCCTTCTAAATTAAAAATAAAAGTTTCCGTCTGCCAATTATACGAGAGAAAACAAAATGTTGATATTTTGGTGAAAGTTTGAAACACCCTGTGGCGTATGTTGAAGCAAGGAATTTAAAAATTTTTCATTTTATCATCTAGATACGTCTTTTCTCGATAGTTTGTTTTTTTATTCATCTCAATAGCTTTATTTTTATTGGAGATATTCGCTTTTGATAAGACAGTAACAATTTACAGCAATTTTAGCATTGCTTGTCTTGGCTTTTGGGTCCTCATCAACACACTCATAAAATAGTGTTTATTGTTTTTGTAATGCCACTGTCATTGAAAAAGTCATATTATTATTGTTTATTGACTTTTATTCTAGTAAAGATGGTTTTAAGTTCTAAAGTATCGGCTATTGCTGCTTTAATAAAATTGATCATGGTAGAGATCAACTTTTGAACTTAAACCATCACTGCTAGAGTAACTGCTTAACAGACACTAATAATATGATTTTTTAAAGACAGACATTACATAATCGTAAACACTATCTGATAGATCTGTAGACAAAGACCAAAAGCATAGGTATGGTTTTAATGTAAAAAATACGAAAAAATGTTAGTGTCTTCTTCAAAAGCGAATATCTCCAAAAAGATGAAGCTATTGGGATGAACCAAAAAACGAACTATCGAGAAAAGATACACCTAGATGAAAAAACGATTTTTAAATTAATTGCTTTGTTAACATACTCCACAGGGTGTTTCAAACTTTCAACAAAATATCAACATTTTGTTTTCCCTCGTATAATAGACAGATGGCAACTTTCAATTATAATTTAGAAAGAGATATTAAAAGGTCAAATAATTTAGCTACAAATTGCTGAAAAAATCATCAAAATCTGTCCACTAGAACACAATATACAAAATTTTAAGGTGCCCGTTTTTCGTGCTGGTGAATGTAGATAAAATGGGTATATTCATATTCAACATCTTATCCACAGAAAACTTTGAAGGTATTAATTCGATAAAAAATATTGAATAATGCAAAATTCATAATCTATAAGTGAAATATCTCATATCATAAACCATATCATTCAATCCATAAAATGATTACAATTTTGGTGTTTGTTACGCATGAAGTTAATACCCTATGATCGAAAAAAACGACGTCCAGTAGGCTGGGAAATGACAATCGATGGCATTTCCCATATGAATTTGCATATAAAATGACAGCGATCTTCATTTCATAGTCATCGCTGACGCCGTTTTCTTTCGATCATACGGTATTAATTTTGTACTTAATTCTAATAAATTATTTTTCGAAACTTTCTACTCAATGTCACCAATAATTATTGATAACAATTAATAAAGGTTTTGCTAAAGTATTGTTTGTATTTGATTTAAAAATAGTTTTTATAAAAAAATCAACGCAAGTAATGTGAATTGTTTAAATTATTTAGAAAAATCCTAATTTAATTCAAGGCCAACAATAACGGTTCCTTAGATTTATATAGAAGTTAATTTAATAACATAAAACCTGACCAAAATATATACTATTTCCTGGTATGTTGGACACAATATACCTTGACAGTTTCTTAAAAAATATGTACCTATCTATGTACAGAGTGTCCCAAATACAAGTGTTCACCGGGACTCGGAAAATATAAGAGAAGGAGGTGAAATTATTGTGGTAAAGTTTAAAATTCTATATTCTATGTCCAATAACATAAATTCAAAAAATCCAAATATTTCCAAGAGATTTAAGTTTATGCTGTCTATGCTTCCTAGATCTCATTGGCCACTGGCCACTCTAGAGTTTTTGACACCCTGTACAATCTTTCATGATTTATTCTGAAAACAGGTTTACCTAAATATTAAAATTTTTAATATACCTATATGAAATCATAATTACTTAATATTAATAAACTAACAGACTCTACAAAAGATATACCTATTCATTATAAATATTTTCTTCTTTATTTTTAAAACACAAAAGGACAACAAAGCTTATATCAACTTCAAATCAATTCCAAATACCTAGCGCGATTCAGCTTTTAAATTACCTACCAACATGCGGCACTCAAGCTATTCTCTAAAAATACACTTTTTAGAACAAACAAAACACCCTTTGTTTCAAATTTGCCACCAATACTAAACAACCATTATTAATGAAACTTAGCTCTAATTATTGTAAATACGAAATTCCTTCAACATTACCCTGGACCTGTTATATTGATATTTAATTGCATGGATCCACTCAATAAAACATTGTTAACACTTCCTTAATAGAAACAGTACATTTTTGTAGAGTAAAATATTGATTAAGAAGTTATATTTTGTATCAAATTATCAATACTTTTTAATCAAGTTATTTTTTTACAAATATTCTAATCATACCGAAGATAATAATATAGATAGAATAAATAATAATACACCTTTCATTTAATTTGTCCATTTCTGTAGTTTTCTTTGAAGATTGTCAAAAAAGTAAAATTTGTTTTTGTTTACATAAATCATGCTACATTATTTATTAATGAAATACCCAATAATATTCTAATTACTGGTCATTAAAGATAAACAAGTTTTTCGTAAAAATTAAGATAATATTATTCCATAATCGCGTTACCCCAATGTATATTTTGTTGTTGTGTTGTTCTGTCAAAATGGTATTTAAAGTTATTGATTGTCATAAAACTTGTAAAAACTAAGATTTAAAGCTAATACTTTGATACTTCTTCTCCAAGTCTTGCCTTTGACTAAAATAACCTGGCAAATTATTAAGTAATTAGAACATTATGCCGATTGCAGCACTGGGCACAAGAATGTTGTTTACGTTGTACTTGGATGAGATTTGTTGCTATTAGTTTAGAGGTTACGCAAATATCTCGCTTACCTTAACGTCCGACACTTCTTTCATAATTTTTTCGAAAGCAGCCGTTTCCTCGGCCTGCCGATGAGTGTGGAGTGCGATTTTTTCACTAAACTTTCTTGGATTCGCCATGATTGCTGTACACAAATTCACTATACTGCACTGCGCGTTCCTTATCCAAAGAGGCGAGAGTCAATTCTGTTCATATGTCGGCACAATCGATAATGGAGTTTTCTTTATTATTTCTCGTCATTATTTTCTCTTTTACTTAATGGATTTGCTAATATCGTTAACAATTTGTTACTTACTTCCAGTAACATTGTAAATATCTCAAACTTCAATCTCTTTCACTTTCCCAGCAAAGTTTTATAAAAAATTGCGTTCTCACGTTTTTTCAAGGATTGGAATCTTTGGAATAACATCAGTGTATATTTGGTTGCATAAATGTAAGTAATAAAACAAGTAGCATCACGTAGCGATTAACTGAAGAACTATAATTGATATTGATAAAAAATTTTAGGCCAAATAAAAATTTGATAAATTACGATAAATTCATACCGAACCTGTACCGAACTAAATTCTATTAACTAACTTATATACTATTCTTTTAAGATCCAAGATTTTATGCTATATATAATTAGTAAATTCCATACAAAAAATGAGTTACATTTCTTGTAAATTTACACTAAAGATGCAGCTAGAGAAAAATGTTAAACAGCTAAATTTGTTGCAAATAGGTATATAGATACTATATATTCATAATGATGCCATAAATCCTCAGATCTTAAAAATATAGGCTTCTTTTTACAAATATTACTGTTTAATTATGTAAAACTTGTATTTAATTTTTAAAATAACTCAGTAAAGTCCTTATGTAATGTTTTTATAACTAGATATCTATAAGTTATTGATGTCATCAATTGGCCGAAAATGATTCAACAGATTTACTGTCCAGTCACTGTCTACTCCTTTGGTAAATTCCTTGATAAAACGATAGTTGGAAATTGATATTCTACCCTGATATTCAGGCAGTGATCCAGCATTCAATGGTGGTTCTTCACCAGAACTCTTCATTGCTGCTAAACCTTTGAGTGTATGATAAACCATTGTAATCTCCACAAACCTTTTTTGATTTTCTGACCCTTTATCATCATTAAAAATAACTCCTATCTAAAACATGTGATATTATTTATAAAACAGATACTAAATTACTGTAAATGTATGGAAGAAATGGTTAGTTACCTAATCACTGTAAATCATATTTAAGAATAACTACCTGATAAGGAAATGCAAAGTAAATATCTTCCATTTTAATTGCCAAAAGTTCTCGTTGGCTTACAGACATTAAAGATAATGCTTTTTGCAAATCTGGTATTATATCTTCTGTAACCAATCCATTTAAATCCTCTAGACTACTTTCAACTAATTTGTGTGAAACAACCTAAAAACCGAAAAATATATATATAAAAATAAAATTATAAACCTCATTATCAAACACAATACCTCAACTGCTTTCTTTGAACCATTAACAAAATCATTTATTTTAAATTCAGGATCAAAATAAGGCTTAATTATAAAAGTAGTTAATAACAAATTTCTAAAAGATTTAAATATAGAAGGCCACACAATATGCGAAATGTTCATTAAAGGAGGTAATTTGTTTTCTGGACTCTTGTTTTCGCAATAGCACCTTTCTGTTGACAAATTGGGTATATTTCCATTTTTAATAGATTTTCGACACGTCGTCAGACTAGTTAAGGAGCTGCTGTGGCGTATACACTTTAAATTACATAATTTATTATAACTTACATACTTATTTATGAATTTATTACAATTTTTTAAATTTTGAACAACTTTAATAAGGTTAATATTCATTTTTCAAAACAAAAATTACATTTTTTGCTTGTCAATGTCAAATTTAAACAATGTCAGTTTTCAAGATGGATAACATACAAAACATAAATGTTACTAAAATCATATTTTCAAACTATAAATAAAATCTCTCAAATAAAATACAAAAACTGTTATTCAGTTTACTTAGCAAGACGGATCGCAAAGCGCGGTAAAAGCGCATTTAAGTAATTTAATTTTTGTGTATATTTTTTTACAAATTGAAAAAATCTAGATCATATACTTTTTATATATGATACTACATAACATATCTTTTTGGAAAAACTCAAAGACATTATAAATCTATGGAAAAACTCAATGGAAAAACTAGGAAAAACTAAATATTGACATTTAAAAGTGAGAAAGACAAATCATTCAGCTGATTTTGGCATTTTATCAAAATGCAAGAAAGAGATACATATATTTGTATAGCGATGCCAGCGCCACTATTCCAAATATCCATTTCAGTTTTCAGTTTTCATCAGTCAGTTTTCGCAGAAATCGGAGGTTTCGGAGTTGAAATTCGAAAGCTGTGGGTGGTAGCACGAAGTTCTTTGTTTTTGTTGATTATTTTCTGTTTTACTTACTTTTATTGTGATTCGATTAACGAGACATATTTTAATCGACATCTCAGTAATCATATTATCTGTAGTGCAATTTACTAACAGGGACATTTATTTTTTTATTTTAATGTCTGTAATGGCGTCATTCGAATTTATTTGAGGAACAACTATTAGGACAAAAAACTAGTGAAATTGCATTGTTAACAATTAATTCTTGTTTTTTGTTGGACAATCGTAGTGATTGTGAAAAATGGCAGCAACAAAAGCCACTAGTAGTGCTCTGCGTGCTTTGGCAGTGGAATATAAGAGTCTTCTGGAGGAGCCAGTGGAAGGGTTTCGTGTGAAATTGGTGAATGAGGACAATTTATTTGAATGGGAGGTCGCTATTTTTGGCCCCCCTGACACATTATATATGGGAGGTTGCTTTAAGGTAAGAATTGTATTTAAATTCTTGATTTCTTCCTTTGTTTTGTGTAATACTGAGGGGGTGAATTCAGTATCAATTCTTCCAAATTATTCCAATTCAGTTTTTTGATTGTAATTTGTTTTATATATAGCGAATGTTTTCTTTCAGGCGAGAATGAGATTTCCTTCAGATTATCCTTATTCACCTCCATCCATAAGGTTTTTATCAAAAGTATGGCATCCAAATGTGTATGAGGTAAGTTCTTAGTTCTAATTATATAAAATAGTTTATTCCAAAATTGCAGTTCATTATTTGTACAATATAAATTTGCTTTTTTGAGTATGAAATTATATTATGATACAATGGTTTATTATTATTATTTATTCAAAATCTCAAAGCAATTAATAGATATTTTTTTGATTGATGTATTTCTAAATTTATACCTGAACAAACAAAATTCTTAGGTATCCAATGAATCAGATGCATATAAACGTATTTGTAGTTTCAAGGTAACTTATGCCTGGGTCATTAGTCTACATAAAAGTGCTTTATGAATTGCAGGAAGTACGTCTATTCATTTATTAATAACAATATTGACCTTTTAGTTTGTCTTTCTTTAATCAATTGCATTGCGCTCCATTTCTGTTAATTTTCTTTTAAACTAGTAGTTAATAGTCTGTAATTTCCATAGAGTTGAATAATTCTAATTATTTAAGTAGGAATATGGAATATGGTAATTTATTTCTTGTTCTGTTACATAATTGCTTTAAAGTAAACAGTTACTGGTTAATTATTAAACTTTCTACGACGTTTTCTAGAAAGTATGATTATTTATACAGTGAAAAACGAACATTCGCCAAACCACTACATACTTTCTCTTAGCAAAATTTGTTTAAAATGAAACAAGTCAAAAATAAAATTACATGGCTATGCTCTACTTATTTGTCGATTTATAAAAGTGTTTTACCGTTTATCAGAATCTATACGATTCCAATTAATTTATAATACCGTTGGAAATCGAAAATGAAGAAAATTAAATGTCAAAAAAAGAAGCGGCAGGTTGAATTCATCGGTTTTTTGAAATTTGCTGGGTTAGCGCGCACATGTGGAATAGAGCTTTTGTCTGATGAGGTAAACGAACTTTTGAGTAAATCGCTATGATTAGAAAATGCAGCATTAAATAGCTTTTGTAAATGTGTAAATATCCTATCTAAACAATGAAATGATAATTAAAATACCTGAAAAGGTGCGCGTCTAATTTTTTTCCGGCTATAATAATATAAATAAGCTGTATGACCAATTGTATCTTAAAATATTTGTTTTTTAAACTATTCTTTTATTTTTATTAGTCAACAAATACTACAATGACAATGTCACCGATAGTTGGCATCATATGGGATTTTTTTTTATTTATTGCCTTGGGTGAAATTAGCTATCGCGGAAGCGATTTTTTGAGTTTTTGGTTTTTGCTTTGAATGATGTTAAAAATGACAAGAAATATTAGCCTGTTGCTCTTGGATACTTGTCAAATATGACATTTAAAGAAGTAAATGTCAAAAAAATTGTGTGTGCACATGTTTGAAGTGAAACTTATTAATAGCTATTAAATTGAAGGATTTGAAGGACATGTATGAAAAAGTGTAGTTTGAAATTTGGGTACCTCTATCCACCTGCGGGGTTGGTTCCAATCGACTCATAATTAGGAAAAATCCTGATGATTTTGTCCATTTAGAGGCATCGGTTCGAAACGTCGAGGGCGTCATCCTGTAGCGCGTCCCCAATCATGCCCAAATCGACCCATATTTCTTTTCAATGTCAAATACTTAGTCCCACCCTGATGAAGATGTAAACGAAACGTCGTATCCAACTTTACAGAGTGGGACCTTGTGCACCCATGGTGTGTACTGTCGCTCACATAGCCTACCCACCAAATTCGGTCGCGATCGGAAGACTAGAGTCTGTGCCGATAACCTCACACAGCACATTTCCACCAATTTGACAACTGACATTAATGACATTTGAAAACATGAAAACTTCAATGTTCACAATTATGTTTTTGTTGGCCTTTGATGTTTTTTACTTTGGCCGTGTTTTTACTGTTTTCACCTTATGATTTTGAGTGTTCTCTAAAATTTACCAATTAATTACCATGCCATATTGTGTATTGAATTGTGATTGTAGTAGGTAAATAAAACCCCAATGGCACCCCAATTTTGTTGGGTATGCAAAAAAATATTTGCCAGAAGTGACTCATTAAAACCGCATCTTAAAAGGAAACATCAGGAAGAATTTAAGAACCTTCCACAGAAGATAAGTGATAACAAGTGCCTGGTATGTAACAAATACTTCACAAAAAAAATACACCCTTAAAAGGCACATTAAGCAAAAACATGCTGACTCCCAATATTCTGAAACTCGTCCTGAAGTTGAAGTTACATATAATTATCAATGCAGTCATTGTAACCGAAAATATTCGTATAAACACCATTTAAAAAGCCATATAAAAAATTTACATTCCAGTGCCAGTACTGTTCCAACCGAGGTTCTAACACTGCCAGGAAAAAATATTAAGCACAAAATTTGCCCTTTGTGCAAAACTTATTCATCACCTTCCTTGGAAGAATTTGTTAAACATATCAGAAACCTTCATGATGTAAAAGTTGAATCTGAGGAACTGCAGTTTTTATCAGTCTCTGAATTTTTGGATTGGAAAAAATTACCTGGGACACCCTGTATTATCGTATAGTTTTTTACACCCGTATTCAACATTCTCTTTTAAATAAAAGCCCTTTCAGTACATTTAAATCATATGTAAACAATCTTAAAAGGGCGTTTAACATTAAACCGTTAAAAGAGGATGTTAAATAAAGCCTGTGATAAAGCTATTGTTTTGACTAATTGTTTTGTATTCTGAAAAAAATACAACTTTTTGAATTTACCGCCAATCTACAAGCGAATAGCGCACGCACAAAACTTTGGTGGAAATGTGCTGTGTGAGGTTATCGGCACAGACTAGTGATCGGAAGACATCAACTTTTGACGTTTCTTACGTCAAAACTAATTGTCACATTGAAGCCCCGTTCTCAGAACTGCGTCGTGTCGCTGGCTACACAGTTTGACATTTCAAACAACCAATGAGAGCTGTACTAAATTTAAAATTGACAGCTGTTTGAATTTTGTACAAATCTCATTGGTCCTCTTGACGTGTCGCTGGCGACAGTCGCAGTTCTGAGAACGGGGCTTGACACATGTCGCCAGGTCAGGGTCAAGTTCGCCTTGGAATAAGCCAGAAATAATAAAACTGTTACAGTCAAAATTGTTATTGTCTCGGGCAAAAACATTTTTGTCTTTTCTAAAAACATTATGTATCGAAGAGAAGCAAAATTTGTTGAAAATTTGAAAAAGTTCTATTTACAATCAAATATGTACGGCAGCAGATACAGAACGGGTCGTGGCTAAAGATGTTTTCGATCTGTGACTGTGACTAAGCGGGCCTTAAGGTACGCGCACATTGACCAGAGCCGCACTCGCCGCACGCGCCGCACGAATCGCACTTTTTTTTCTTGGCGCGCACACTGAGCCGTACCGAACGCGCCGCATATTCGATATTTTGTTTCTTTTTGCCCCTACTACGCCCGTATTTGCCAATCGAATTTCTCATCGGTCGCTTCCGGAGTCCTGTCTGCGGTGATAAGCGTGTTTTTTTTTAATATTTATCATTTATCGACAATAAATGACAACGAACAAGAAATAAGTATGAGCTCCTTGCTAATAGAAGAAGAAGAAATCACGAGAAAGAATCGAAAGTTATAGGTTCACAATTCACAATATTGGCAAAAATCCACATTATTTCCATATTTAATTGAGGAGGAATTAAACATTTTTCAATATTTTAATATGAGCCATGAAAAATTTGCGTCCTTAGCATATTGAATTTCCTTCGCATTCTTCCTTAGCATATTGAATTTCTAATCTCCTCTTCGGCTACCTATGCTACATAGAGTGGCAGGAATTGCGTGTGACGTCAGCAGCACTAGCCGCATTTACCGAAAATCATTCTGGCCCAACAATGCTGGCCGCATTTTCGTCGATAAGATTCGTGCTGCTCTGGCTAGTGTGCGCACCTTCATTGAAAGTAACGCAAACAATATTTTTTTTCGGTCGATGCGGCGCGAGCCGCACTCGCCGCACGAATCGCACTTTTTTTTCTTGTCGCGCACACTGAGCCGTATCGAACGCGCCGCATTATTCGCTATTTTGTTTCTTTTTGCCCCTACTACACCCGTATTTGCCAATAGAATTATTCATCAGTCGCTTCCAGAGTCCTGTCCCCGGTGATAAGCGTGTTTTTTAATAATTCTCGACAATAAATGGCAACGATCAAGAAATAATTGAGCTTATTGCTAATAGAAGAAGAAATCACGAGAAAGAATCGAAAGTTATAGGTTCACAATATTGGCAAGAATCCACATTATTTCCAGATTTAATTGAGGATGAACTAAAAATTTTTCAATATTTCAATATGAGCCATGAAAAATTTGCGAACTTTTTTAGTATATTGAATTTCTAATCTCCTCTTCGGCTACCTACGCTACGTAGAGTGGAAGGAATTGCGTGTGACGTCAGCAGCACTTCCATCTACATCCATCTCGACATGCGATGACTAAAGACGCGGGCGATTAAAAACAAACATGTTTGAAAATACACTTGTGTTTGAACTTACACTTAACCTGTCTTAACGCTAGCGACTGATCAGTGTGCGTTAGCCCATTTAATTTGCATTGAAACAAATTCATATGAAAACATATTTAGTCAATATCGTTTTTGACTAAAACTGATTATTTCTTTCTGTCTGCGTCCAGGCTTAGGTAGAATTGGTATACTATGGAATGTATAGATGAGGTGAGGTATATGTAGGTGCATATTTTAGTGATGGGAAAAATCGATTAATATCGAGTACTCGAGTTTCAAGTAATCGCTCGAGCGAAATATCGCTCGTATTTAAAAATACGGTTTTTCGCCTGTCGCTTGTTGTACTCGTAAAGGTGCGTATTCATTATCCGAACGAACAAATGTTCGCTAGTGGTATGGCGGTCCCCGGCGTACGATAGAACCGCACGAGAAGACCGGAGGCATTTGTTGGCGAACGCCTTTGATGTACCGACTCGAAACGGATGGTCGAGCGAACGAACGAACGAACGGCCGCATGCGTTCGGTCCCCGTCTAAATATACCGCACTTTCATTCGTTCGTTCGGATAATGAATACGCACCTTTATCCGAACGAACGAATGTTCGCTAGTGGTATGGACGGGGACCGTACGATAGAACCGTACGATAAACCGCACGAGAAGACCGGACGCGAACGCCTTTGATGTACCGACTCGAAACGGATGGTCGAGCGAACGAACGAACGAACGGCCGCATGCGTTCGGTCCCCGTCTAAATATACCGCGCTTTCATTCGTTCGTTCGTTCGACGGATAATGAATACGCACCTTAACGTCAAGCAGTTAAGTTGCGTGCGCAGAGCACATATTCTTTCGGTGATGAATGGCAAGTAGCAAGCGAGGAGCGATTCGCCTGATCGCTTGATTTAGTTTATTTCAAAGCATTGTCCATGTAGGTCGGAAAATTTTGTCACTCGGATTCGCAATGGATGACGTCGTATAAAGTTGCTACCTGCAATGTATGTAGAAAATTCGCTCGGCTTTTTATCGAGTATGTCACAGTAAAATCGTATTTCAATTTATTTCATTCTAGGGCAACGGCCCAGCTACGTCGAAACACCGGTTCTCATTAGAACACCGAAGTTAAGCGGCGTAAGGCGATACTAGTGGATGGATGGGTGACCGGTTCGAATCTCTGTATCGTGCTGTTGCCCAATAAAGGCAAAAGTGTGAAATCTATTGACACACACTGCTCATTGATCATGGATGAGATCGGATATCTCGTGAGTAAGAGTTGATTTAGACACTTGCCAAATCGGTACGCCATTGACCATGATATGGCCGAGGACCGCGGTTCGGACTCCGCGTAAACAAAGTAGGCCCCGTCCAGGTTAGCCCTGGCAGCAAAAAGGAGACGTTAACTGAAATCTTTACTTTTTTTACTTTTTTATTTCATTCTAGAATCGCTTGCGTTCGTCGCTCGTAACTCGTCACTTGCATCGCTCGTTCATAATCGAGCATGTATTTCAATAATCGAGTACTCGAGCAAATTTTCGCTCGAGTTATCCCATCACTAGTATATACCGGGTGCGTCTCAAAAGTGGCTCACTTAATATATGAGATAAATTAGGATTGATTGACGTATTCAATTGTTTTCTGTTACTTCCTGTTTCACCGGAAATGACTATAACTTTTGATTTTTAAATGGTACCCTCGGTGTTTTGTTGCTTTATTCGATAGAAAATGATACTCTGAATAGAATGACATATCATATGTCAACTTTCGACATTTTTGAATATGGTTTATTTGAAATTGCAACATGCGATTGATTCATAACGACAATTTAACTTGAAATACCAAGTGTTTGGTACCAAATTATTCGCAAAAAAATGCTTTTTCCAAATATGCTAATGAGCCACCCTCGTTCCATTTGAAAAAAAATTAAATATGATTAAAAATACAATTTACGCATTTTTAAACCGGCCAGGACGAAACACGAATAACATTAGACTATCAAATTTATTTTTCCAAAGCTCCTTGATTAAAAATTAGTATTTTTAACACTCTAGATTGAATTTAAAAATTCAATTTTGTTTTAAGCAAAAATGTCAAAAGTTGACATATGATATGTCATTCTATTCAGAATGTCATTTTCTATCGAATAAAGTAAAAAAATACCTAAGGTGCCGTTTAAAAATAAAAATTTGTAGTCATTTCTGGTGAAGAGGGAAGTGACTAAAAACAATTGAATACTCTAATCCATTCTAATTTATGTCATATACTAACATACCAAATCTCGTTTTTTATCTGATAAAATAAAAAAGTTATAGGGGTGAGCCACTTTTGAGACGCACCCGGTATATTACGGTTAAGGTCCGATATTCGGTTAATATCGACATTACCCGGTTAATCTCGAACCTAACACAAAACAAAACAACCAAAAACAAAACCAAAACCGAACATTAACCTGTTATTGTCGACATTAACAGGACATCGGACTTTAACCATAACATATACACTCCATATGATATACTTATATGTATAGAATTAGAAATGAAATAACTTAGTTTGTGAAGAGACAAAGGTTTTATTTAAAAAGTACTTCAACTTCGTCTTCTACATTTACTAAATTTCGAAGCGTTGTTTCCTCTTTAGATTTGTCAGTATTTGTTTTTCCCAGTAAGTCTTTCAGTCCGTCTATTTTCCCGCGCATTCTTTTAATCCTACAATCCATATCCGAATGGAAGATATCCACGGATTTATCGTTTTTCTTGGCCCAAATTTTTATTTTCTCCAAACAGTCGCAATCATACGGATTATTGTCCAGATGTGTGATTTCCGCTTTGATTATCCCGTCCAGGTCATCTAAAAATATTTTAAAGTCGTTAAAACGTAAAACGATCGATAGTGAAATTTCAACGTGGTGATCGATAGGTATTTTCAAGTGTATATTTATAAATAAAAATTCGCCACTGGAATTTGATATTGAAATCGATCAGGACTTTTAACGATCAGATTCGTGCAGCGTTTGATTTGATAAGTTACAGTAAAAATTCTAGACAAAAATAGAGATGTGCAAAATTATCGATGTATGGAAATATCAATATTAAAAAAACAATATCGATTATTATTTCCGTAGAATTCGTGCAGTAAAAACAAAGAAATAAATGACTAAGGAAGGAGACAAATACTATTTTTATATTCATACAAAAGTTGGAAGCCACGTCATTGTTTGTGACCATTTTCAAACATTGTTTTTATCATTTTCTTTGACGTCTCTGTCGAATTTAAATTTTTGCGAGTATGGTGTGCTTTTTTATTTTATATAAGGTGGCGCACCTCATTCGTCTCGGTTAAGTTGTGGGGAGGCAATGTGTACAATTTGAAATTATTTTGAAATATACAGGGTTTTTCATAACTAAGATCCATATTAAAGGAAAAAAATATATTTAAAGCAGTATCTGCTGGCGGAAAAAATGGATATGTTATTGGAATCTTCCTGATAAGCGTTCCTTTGAAAAACTACTTATCCTATTTCGCAGAGCTAGTAGTGTGGTTTATAAAAAAACTATTAGGTAGAGACCTGTCGTTGGAAGTGAAGAAAATGAATTTGCCGTAATTGGCTCTCTTATAGAACATCCATATATTATTTACAAGTCATTGTATAATAAATCAAAGAACTACTTCGTTTTTCTTGATAAAATAATAAATACATATTTAATAAATATTATTTATTAAACTATTGTAGGTAAAAAATAAAAGGTAAATTAATTGTAGGTTTTAAATAAAAGTAAACTGGCTATAAATTTAAATAAAGGCCATAAACTAATTTCGATTTTGAAAATAGCTACTAACTGACACTAGAAACTTGCCATGACGATCAGGCCTCTTGGTTGCCATTTTATTGAAAAATTGCCCGTTATTCAAAATCTGAGCTAGATAGGTTAGGTTATAGATAGCCTATAGGAAACCCTAATATAGTTTGAAAGAGCATTTAAATTTGCTTCGGCTTGTTTTAAAAAATACAGAGAATCTGCATTGAAATAACGAAGTATTTATGTAAAAAAATAATTAAAATAGACCAGCAATTTTTAAAACCTCTGTATACATTAATCAAAGCAATCAAATTTGTCAGTGAAGTTAGTTATTTCTCTGGCATAAAAGTCAGCACAAGAATTAATTCTGAAAAGTATTGTACAGGATGTTAACAATCTTTTTATTACAGCATGCATATTTAAATATCTTTAAATATCTTAAAAACCAAAGCTTGTAAATATATTTAACCCTTATAATAAATGCCTTCTTTTGTGTCAAAGTATCCAAAAATGAAATAAAATACCGGGTGTTCTATAGGAAACAAATATAACTTTGGTGTGGATCTTAGTTCTGACATACCATGTACAGGGTGGGTCAAATTCGACGCTTTTAAATGGAAACACCCTTTTCTATAGGAGATAGACAAAGATGGTGAAAACCGCATATCGATATCTGTTACCGTTTCGGAGTTACGGGGTGTTTTTCAAAAATATGCATTTTTAACAAATCCCTGTAACTTTTTTGCTATGGAAAATTTTGTATTTTTATGAAATCATTTCCAAAGCACCTTTTTACGTAGAATTTAATGGTTTAAGTATAATTTTTTTTAAATTAATAATTTAAGAATTATCAACAGAAAATTTGATTTTTTATATGGAACACCCTGTATATTTTTAATTTATTGAAAAGAATTTAAAATTGCCTTTCCAAAAATATAACACACTTGATATTTTGCTCGATTCCTCTTCGAGATATAGAGTATATAAAAATTCGCCCCCTTTAAATAAGTAGGCTTTAAACGGCACCGGTTGTAATGCAAAAAAATTCTAGCTGTGAGCATCAGTTAAAACGAAAATAATATTTGCTATGAGAGATGCAGAATTTTGTAACAATTTAAAATATATTTAACCAACATCAACACATTTAAACTATATCTATTAACTATAAAAATAAATAGCAAACCAACACATGAGATTTTGCTACAGGTGTTCGACATATCAACCGTCTTCTGTTATGGACAGACGGGGCAGTTCTTGAACATTTCTCGCGGAATTCATTAACTCAAGTGGGTGAAAGATACCCTCTCATAACTGCTAACTATTTCTAATTCTTGTCTAGATTATACGGAAGAATAAGGAACCTTTATTCTTCCGCAAATATATCCATAGGATTAGATCCATGGGCACTAAGTCAGGCGGCCTCGACGACCAACAGCTGAGATCTTGGTTAGCTATTCAATTATTCTTGAAATTGGCTGCAAAAATTGGCTGATAACTTCAGCGTTCAGAGGCGGTGCGTCCGTCGCGTCGGCTTGCTGGAAAAATATGTTTTCGAGTTCCATTAAGGGCATATCATCAATAAGGGGTCCAAAGCCTACTACTTAACAGTGGCGAACTTTTAAAAATTCTGTATTTCGAAGGGGATTATAACAAAATATCAAGTGTGCTATATTTTTGGAAAGGTAATTTTAAATTCTTTTCAGTTAATTAAAAATATAGAGGGTGTCCCAAATAAAAAAAACAATTTTTCTGTTGATAACTCTTAAATTATTAATTTTAAAACAATTATACTTAAACCATTAAATTCTACGTAAAAAGGTGCTTTGGAAATGTTTTCATAGAAATACAAAATTTTCCATAGCAAAAAAGTTACAGCGATTTGTTAAAAATGCACATTTTTGAAAAACACCCCGTAACTCCAAAACGGTAACAGATATTGATGTGCGGTTTTCACCATCATGTTTTTGATGAAAATTGAGCTCTAGACACCGATATTAGTTTTTGTCTATCTCCTATAGAAAAGGGTGTTTCCATTTAAAAGCGTCGAATTTGACCCACCCTGTACATTTCAAAATAATTTTAAATTATGCACATTGCCTTCACACATACAGCAATAAAATATTTTGTTTCTACATCTTTCCCTTTCCGTATAATCAACCAAGGCGAATGAGATACACCACCCTGTATGTGAATATCATGTTTATTTTATAATTGGCTTTACGCAAAGTGTGTAAATCTGGAAAGACATTGTATCAGGACTTGAATTGCTATGAGTACAAAAATAGTTATATCTGTGCAGTTCTTTAATCGTTAATTCAGTGGAAAAAATACGGAAAAAATCATAGTAAATCAAGAAAATAGGAATGTTGGAAAAATCTCAATTTTTAAAGATATCTGTTATTTCCGGTATCATCTTTTGCGAATCAGCTTATGTGAACTTACCTTTAAAACAGGTTATCAAATTGTGACCAATCCTCAGATTATCAACTTCCACACCATCCAATAGCTTCCCGTTCCAATCAATCAGTTTGTTGTTGTCCAACCACAAATTGTTAATGTTCTTCAGTCCTCTAAACGCATTACGGTCGATAGTATTTATTCGATTGTAACTAAATATCAAGTTAATAGTTAATTTTACTTTGCCGTAAGATTTGGTTCCTATTAGATTGGTAAACGCATCTTTTGGTAGTGTTTTCAAAGAGTTGTTTTGCATGGAGATCCTTGTTAGCATAGGCGTTTTCTTGAACCAGCTACAAAAAAGTATACAGGATGTATCAACATAGGTTCGATTCTGCTTTGTTTCATAGCTACAGAGGACTATAAAGTATTTTTTCCGATTTATTGTAATTTTCTTCCAAGTGCTTTTAGCGATTCGAATGAAATTTTGGGGGTAAAAGATACTATAAGTGCGTGATATTTTAATGCTAAAAAATCGTCAACATATTCACCAGGGACGGGCATATGGGTTATCACTGGAATATTTTTCTAAAAAAAACATGTGCGCCACTGACTTTCTTTCTTGTTAGCAAAATTGATTAGACCGTTTGGTTACTATGGCTATAAAACTGCCCATGCTAAATATGTCTATCTTTTCTAAATTTTAATACCCCATGGTCGCGCGCGCGTTTCTGGGGTTGATCTATAATACTACCAGTTAAAATATCTGCACTTATTTCTGGGGCACCCTGTATGTACACGGTGAGTCTTAAAGAAGTGCAAATATTTTCAGGGCTGGTAGATCTCAATAAAAGAAACATATTTTCTCTTTTCCATTTTTCAAATAAGTCCAAAATAACCGAGATATTTTACTTTAAAATTTTTTAAAAAATATATATTTTTCACTTAAATTTTGAAAATCACTGGATCTTTTCAGGATGTTCTTTCTTGTAAATTTAATCCACTATCTATGTTGTCATATTATGAAGATATGTTTTTTAACTAAAAATTAAAAAAAAATCCAAATTTTTCAATTTTCAATTTTTTTCGCGGTAAAACCTCATACACGTGTTTATGGAATGAAAATATACTACCCCTAAAAATATTTTACACATTTAAGACTCACCCTGTATAACTTACTTTTTGTCCCATTCAGCAATATTATTGTCGGCCAGGTTTATATTTAACAAGTTTGGAAGATCATCCAACCCATTGCTTCCAATAGTTTTTATCTGATTCTTGCCCAGATCCAGAGTAGACAGTGTTAAACCGTTAAATACTCCATCCTCTATATTCACCAGTACGTTGTTCTTCAAGTTCAGTTTTCTTAGATTAGGAACATTTTGAAACGCACCAGGTTCAATCGCAGTCAGGTTACATTCTTCAATGGTCAACTCGTCCAGTGAACTAAGATCCGTCACTGAACCAGTTCGAGTACCGGAATGTATTGGTTCAGGAACTCCAGATGATCGAAATACTCTTTGGGAACGTGGTCTTTGAGAGTATTCGATCTAGAAATCTTCCGTGTGAATTTTAAGGTGAACACGCTGTATCCGTGAAATTCTACATTGTTAAATGTGACATCGTCAGCAAATACTGAAATTGTATAGAAAAGAAATAATATAACACGTCCGAGGAACATCGTCGATATTTGCTGTTTGCTATTTTTTCCAAAGATTTTGATTTATTTATATACTCTCTCTTGGCTTAATCGATTTTTAATTGTTGTCTAGAGGTTAAGGATTGATAACCTTTTTCTGAGTTGTTTTTATTGATAAGTATTGTTTTTCCTCGAAGGGTTGCGAATAAGTTTATAATTTGCTATTGATTTTCTACAGTTTGACATTTTTTTAAACATTGTCGTTAGTGATTGCTAGAATGTCGTTTCGAAGATGAGGCGCTGAAGAGATCTCTTGCTTATTTGACGTAAGCTGAACGTACAGTACGTCTGTCCGTTCTGTAGCTACGGGGTATTCGTGAGAGGGGACACGATATTCTCTCGATGTTTTTCGTAAAAAATTAGACGACGCGTCCCATCAATAAAAATTCGACAAATTTGCAAGTAGCCAATAAAATGAGTGGGCGGAGCGATTTGCGGTGACGTACTCGTTAAGCCGACGTATAAAATATATTGCTGTTTATTTAATTGTTTTTTGTCCGCATTCCTTTCGTAGACACAGTTCAGAAGCGTATAGGTACACCACAACAATAATATCCGGAAAGCTTCGGGCTTGCGCAATACGTGGGAATGGTATTAACCATAACCTTACTTTAGGAACTAAGTAATGCCTAGCTATAGCCTTGCTACAAAAGCAGCTGTGGCTCCATTGCTAAGGCGGTGGTTTCGGGACCAAGTTTTTTAAATGTTTTTACAGCTGTCGGTAATAGCTGGTTAGCCTCTGGTGTTATTTTTTTTTTAGATTGCACGCTAAATACCTGACCCAAAGTCTTTCCGAAACATATTGTTGGGGTGCTTGTACGCTAGACGCTTGTAACAGCCTGTTTTTCACTATGTCACGGTTGTCATCATTGCGCTTGTGCTTTTGATTTCATTCGTTTTTTTTTATTAAATGAATCCTAGCACACAACTAGGAACTAGGGTTTCCATTTTTCGGGATCGGGATCCCGTTTTCAAATCCCGATATTGACTATCAGAATGAAAAATTTAATCTTATCAAAAAGAAAATGAGAAAAGAGCTTTATTAAAATAGACAAATCAAAGTGACATTCATATTTAGTGATCATCATAGTCATCAAAAATCAAGTCAACACAAACGAAGAAAAAACTAAAGCGTTGATTGAACAACAAAAATAAAAATTCTTTTATAGGTACTGAATATGTCGTATGATCTAAAAAAGGCGTTTAGTTGGCTTGGAAATGACGATTATTGACATTTACCATAATATTTTATTTATATGAAATAACGGCGATCTTCATTTACAAGCCAACTCAGACGCCGTTCTTTGTTTAATCATATAATATTATATTAAATTGTTTAATGATAAAAAAAATCCGTATTATTAACGTATTGTACCCAAAATCCGTAAATCTATTGATTAATCAGTAGTTTTGGCAACACTGTCTCCGGCAACCACTCATTCTGTCGACTGAAAGCAGAACTACGGTACAGTATTATGCGCTGCGCTGTAAACGACTCAGATCAGCGCGCAGCGGCGCAGTGTACAACAGTAATGTAGGCGACATAATGGAAAAACAAAGTATTAAAAAGAGATAAAAGTTGGGTTGATACATTTCTTCTATGCGGTATTGCCGGATTTTGCAACAAAAGTTCAAACCGCACAAGTAGGCGTTTATGGTTGGAACCTTACTTTTCACAATTAGTTACTTATTTTACTACAAATGTAATAGAATATATTTAGCTTAGATATATTATCTTCATTTCAGTAGTATACATGAAAATTTTTAAAATAGTTTTTTTTCTACACAAATTTTCCTACATACGTAAAAACCGGCAACACTGTACGCCGCTTTTGATCTTGTCTCTCTGTCTGTCAACCGGTACATTTATATTATTCTCTGTCTTACACGTTAAAATCCAGACGACACTTCTAAAATGACCAAATCGGTATATTAGAAGTGTATTAGATAACACATTACTGTAATTTGAATATGGCCTTATAACTATTAAAAAAACTGCACAATTTATTTTCTTTTACATCAGAATGGAGACCTGTGTATCAGTATCTTACACCCTCCGGTAGACGATCCCCAATCAGGCGAGTTGCCCTGCGAGCGTTGGAACCCTACCCAGAACGTCCGTACCATCCTGCTCTCAGTCATTTCGCTGCTCAACGAACCGAACACCTTCAGCCCGGCCAACGTCGACGCCTCTGTTATGTACCGACGCTGGCGGGACTCCAAAGGCAGGGACAAGGAATACGAAAATATCATAAGGTACCTATAAGTAACTCTAATCTTGCTTCTCTGCTCTTAACGATGAACATTTTGGATTTCTTGAAATTTTGGCCAGATATAAATTTAATTAAAAATTAATATTTTGATCCACGTTTCAATCATTTATTTAACAGTCTTCATCGTGTTAATTAAGATCCGACCGAACCTGGATTTTTAGTCTCGGCCGAGACCGAGACAGAGGCCGAGAGAAAAAAGAAATTCTGGGCCGAGAACCAGACCGAGACACGATGCAATATTTATTTAATATAGTTTATTATATGAGAAAACATCTGATAATAATGTAATAACGTTATTTTCATGCAGAAACGGTTTTATTTGGGATTTACTTATATTAATAAAATTCCTTTTTTAGTCTATGTTATAGGCTAAATAAGTCATTTTCAGCAATGCATCCTTTCAAATTACGCAGTGTTTCATCATATTCTTTCTAAATAGTTGTTTGCTAGAGACGCTTGTTGGAGGTGAATAATTTTATTACATACAAAATGCGAGTAATTCATATTAATTTTGTTATTCTTTTTCTGTTTTTTATATATATTTCGTTCGTTATTTACGTATCGGCAATTCTTCAGCCGTCCGGGAAATCCCCTTCGTGATTCGATCTTCGATCCAGATCATATATGGACCAGATATGATCCATTCTTTTTTTTTTCGACTTCGGGCGAGAATTTCATTCATCTACGCATTGATAGGTGGAGCGATACGCAGGATACGCTCAAAAATAAGTTAATTTGACGATCGTGAGCAGTCTCGGCCGTGGCAGGGCAACGGCCCAGCTACGTCGAAATAGAATACATTAAAATACGCAACCAACCGTCATTCAACCGTCCAATCAAATGAAAGGAGCAATCGTCGTAGATCGTGCGGTATCGCTGAAACTCGGTCCCGGAAAAAAAGCGGGAGAATTGATATTACAACCCATAGAGAAATATAAAATAAAAGAGTTGTCATTTCCATAGTCAAAAGTAGGCAACACGTTTAACGAGGATCGATTGTAGCGCACCCTTGAGCCCTAACTGAACTAATCGAAATATGACAGACCTTATCGGTAAAATAGGTATCTGCATTACCTACCACAAAAAAGGCGGGCCGTTTAAATGTGAATATAAAATTTTATGTATTTTTAAAAATATTACGAAATTAAAACTGCAAAAATATAATGAAAGTTTATTTTTAAAAACGGAATATTTGAAAAGTATAAACTATTGTACCTACACTTTTCAAATGCTTACAGTTAAATGCTAAATTAAATTTAATAATATAAAACATGTATGCTGAATTAACTTCGAGGGGTAAACTCCTGATGAATTTCTGTACACTAATGCCAAAGTAATGCCAAATAATTTAGTACTAATACCAATATAGCATAGATATGTTATGCTTTTGTTATGCCACGAAAATGCCAACATCTTGTACACCACCAAAATACACCAGCGGTTTACCCTTCGATTTACCTATAGTATTATAAAACGTATTTAACAACGCCACTAACAAAGCATATAAGATCGCAGGGTTTGCAATCTATGCTATTATAACAGATAAAGATTTAAATAAGACATCATCAAAAATTAATTCACCTTTAAGTTGGATTTATAAACTCAGCAGTCAGCAGTTGAAGTTCAGTTCAGGTAACAAATGTTCAACACCATTAAATGAAGGCGCAAATTTATAGTCAGTTCGTTTTACGTTCACAGAGTTCAGAGATGGGCAATGTCTTTACATATCGAACTTGCTTTGCATGATACCCTTTCCTGGATCGTGTTCAAATCACATCATCGGCTGAACAAAATATTACATGATGATGGCAAAACACAGCACAAAAATATAAAGTTCAAATCATAGAGAAATATAAGGTCTCGGGTTCCTCAGGAAATAAAACTTCGTCCATAATTTCTGTACGCACAAACACAACACAAACAAACAAAGTTTATGCTACACAAAATAATAACAAAATTCCAAAATTCAAAACAAAATTGTAAACAATTGCAAAATACAAATAATTTGCTGTCATGTCACTTGTCATTCTTGTAATGACACGTGACAGGTAGCAGGTGGCGACGCTTTGGAGCCCTAACTGAACTATGCAACATTATGGCCAAGTTAGACAACCTTTCAAACACTCTTTTATTTTAGTTACTTTATGTTACAACCATAATTGACACTTGCAATTTTGCGCTTTTTGCATCTAACTGCAGCATTTTATATGGTTGTGTTTGAGTATTATTTATTTTTTCTGACTTTTTAGTTGTGAATAAATATAATAATTACTAAAATCAGCAGTTCTTATTGCTATTTAGAGTGTTTACCAATCATTGGTAGTGTTTATTATCGGCAAATTGGTGATTTGTGATTTTAACAACATTTAATAATTTTCAACATTTTAACAACATTTAATAATCTGATATAATCCTCTTCAGTTCTTTATCTCTGGTTTTATATTAAAACAATAAAATCCAAGAAATCAAAAATTATCTATTAACATGGATTTGAATTTGAACAATAATAGGTAAGTATACTTTATAAATTTATTTCTATTTGCTATAAAATTGTTTATCAGGTTTTCAGTTTGCGATATTTGTGGAAAAAGATTTTCGTGCTCATCGTCTCTGAATCGGCATATGAAGAATATCCACGGAAAAGTAGTCAGTCTGAAGATAAACCAACACATCATTTGTCCTTTGTGTTCAAACGAAAAGATTTGCTTTTTCTTGCCATGAGGGATTATTGGATCATTTAAAAATATCCACAAGGTAAGTATTAAAGAGAGCGTCTTAAATTTTAGGAACCTTCAAGAATTTGATGCTTGGAAGTGTTTAGAAAATAGAGAAATTGATTATGCTTGTCATCGAAAAATAAAAAAGGCCAATGGAGATGAATATGTATATTATAATTGTAATAGAAGCGATTCTAGGGGTAAAATACTTTATAATTAGTAACTTGTTTTTTTTTGATAAGTAGTTGTTTTAGGTTTTGAGAGTAAATCAGTTGAACAGAACCCAAAGTCTGGAGGAAGTATTCGCATACAAGGAATATGCCCAGCAAGGATAATAGTCCAAATCTGTGTTAATGGTAGGCAATTATTTAAGATTTATTCTGTTCAACATTTTAAGTGACTGAAATATGAAATAATTTAAAATATTGGTATTTCCACGTAAGACAATATTATTTTTTTAGGGATGATTAGGTCCGATACTTCGAAACTCATGTTGGGTATAATATAGAGTTGAGGAGTAGACGACTGACCAAATCTGAACAACAGACAGTCGCAGAAAAATTAATAGCTGGGGTTTCCGTCAATAGAATTATTCAGGATGCAAGAAAAATAGAAAACAGCACATTGGAAAGGATAAATATTATGTCAAGAGGAGATTTAGCATATTTAATGAGAAAATTTAATATTTATAACCAAAGAGATAAAGATGGCATGATAGCAACTGCATTAAAAGTTGAAGAATGGAACAAGGACGGAAGGAATTATGCATTTTTGTTCAAACAGATTGGTTTAGTTTATTAAATTCTTTCTAGATACATTATTTTTTGAAACCTTTGTGGTTTATAGGTACAAGCTATCCAGGATTAAAGGATGAAGATTTTGCAGTGGGCTTCATGAATAATATAATGGAAAAAAAATTGAAGGATTTTTCAAAGATCATTTGTATGGATGGTACTCACGGAACTAATAGGAGAAATTGGGAGCTGACTACAGTTTTAGTAAAAGATGATCAAAATATGGGTTTCCCTGTGGCATTTTTGGTAACTAATAGATTAGATCAAGTAATACAAAACATTTTTAGAGAATTAAAATCAAGACTGGGACAAACTATCGACGCTGAATATATAATGACTGATGATGATCCAAAATACTATAATGCTTGGACCTTGAACATGGAAACAGGTCAGTCTATATTATATAATATATAATTGTTAGATAAACATTATGCTTTTATAAATGTTCTTAATTATACTCTGTAAATAGAAGAAAAACCAAGAAGACTGCTTTGTACTTGGCATGTGGTTAAAAATTGGAATATACAGGGGAGATCAAAAATAAAAAAGCAGGAAAATAGGCAAGCAATGAAAAGAGAAATGAGGAAGATTCTAAAGGAGACGGATATTAACAAATTTCTTAAATTAACAAATGCATATTTTAAAAATTTGGAGGATGAAGGTGAAAATGAATTTTTAACATATTTGCAGAAGTAAGTTTGTTTTATTTATTGTTAGTTTGTTTTAGTAATTTTATATTGAAAAGCTATAGTTATTTTAATTGCCTATAGATACCTACATGTTACGAAATTATTGCTACTTGCAGAAAGGTCAGTAAAAGCCTACACTTTTACTGACCTTTCTGTACAGCTACCTGTGTTTTAAATTAAATTATATTTTTTAGATACTATTTCCAGGACCAAAGTAGGATTATGATGTGGGCACACTGTTATCGACTGAATGCAGGCATAAATACAAACATGGCAATTGAAAGTTTAAATAAAGTCTTAAAATATAACAAAATGAATGGGGAAAGAAATATCAGGTATAGCAGTTTAATCTCATGTAATATTTTGGTTTTAACTTGTTTGTTTTTAGGGTGGAAAAATTGTTAGATTTATTGGAAGAACTTGTAGACGATAAGATGTGGAAAAGAATTATAAATAGAGAAAGACCAAATGCAAATAATTATCATCATAAAATATGTGTGGATGCACATAAAAAAGGTGAAGAAATGGTGGGTAAAGTGTCTTCTTTTGAATTTGGAATGTATAAGATAGAGTCAAGCACAGTAAGTAATAAGTTTTATGTTGTGTCCCACAATGAAATTTGTGATGATAATTGTCGAGCAGTTTATTGTAACAAATGTAAGGTATGCATACACAGGTATACATGTCAGTGCCCTGAGTACTTAGTGAAAACTGCAATGTGTAAACATATACATGCTGTTGCCACATTTGAGCAGAGAAGCGAGTCTGTTTCAGGTTCAATTGATAGCCAGGAAGATAATAATTTGTACCTTGAACAGCCAGCAAGTACATCTCAATACAATAATGAATTGGACCATTTTATTCAAGAGAGGGAAGTCAATGATGATTTATATGTAGATAATGAAAGAAGACGTGAGGTATACCTCAGGGTTAAATAATCAGATTTGCAGCAGTAGAGATCTAACAAAAAAGAAACATATTGTAGATTATTTTGCAAGAAATGTGCAACGATATCCGTAGTTATGGCAGTAATTTAAATAATAACGAGTTTGAACAGTTTGTAGTTAGATTTGCAGATTTTAAAAAAAGTTTGAGTTTCACAAGCAATATTGAAATGTCAAGAAAAAGAAAAATAGAGAAACAGGTTTATTTTCCAAATAAAAAATCTAAATAAGGTCTGTTAAAATTGTATAAGTCATATAAAGAAACATTTATATGGATATTTATTTTTCCAGATTCCTTTACTTTTATTTACTTGGTTGTGGTGTTTACAGATAGAAGCATGTTTTTTTGTTTTAACCAAATACTTTATTTTTGTGATGATGGTTTATGGCATGTTCATTGTTTATTTTGGTGGTGGAATTGTAACAGAATAATATATTCAGATAACTCGCCTGTTAAAAAAAAGACATTTAATTTTAACACACTCTGTATACATTTTCGTTTCTTGTAATATTTTGTGTTAAAGCTTTGCCTGATTTAATTTGACAATTGTATTATATAACATTTGTATGTATTTAACAGATTTGATTTATGCTGTGAATAATTTTCGTTTTAAAGTTAAATTTAATGCAATCGGTTACTGTCTATTCGTATTGAGTTTTGTAGTTTACTATGGTCTAGTGTGACAGCAAGAGCCTTGATAATATAACTAATATTTTCCAAAACATGGCCTGCCAACTAACAAATACCTCTTCAGTTTTGAATGTAACAAATGGGGCATATTTTGGAATGTGTTAAACTACAATTTTTGATATGAGGATAGTACTTAAATTATTATTATTACTCTTTTCTTAAAGGTAACAGCATAATTGGATTCTTTGGAATAATGATTGGGGTTTTCTCTGCCGTGCTCTTTCCCTTGTGAATTCCAGGTTGAGTACGGCACTCTTTTCATTCATTTAATAAAATAAGTAGGGATGTTTACAAATTTAGCCTTTGATTTACACAACCCATTCTCCTAAAAGTTCTCTAATTTTGTTTGGGCATGTAGTTTTCCATATTTGTTTTATGTAGGTATTTACAATTCCAAATTTCAGGTGAGCGTTTTTTTTAATACAAATTATTTTTAGACTTTTATGGTGACTTGACATTGTTTTTTTGCTTGAATGTATATATTTTAAATATAATGCATGATTTTCAATTTTTAAAATATATAAATATTATAACTGCCTTTAAAAAACTCCATTAAACTGTTAAAGGTGTAATTTACTTCAAACAAATATACATATATATTAATATCAAAAAAATAGTTTTTATTTGCCTAGCACCAATTTAATCATCACATACATATAAACATATATTTTCGTTATTTCAAATGATCTAAAAATTCAACAGGAATGACCTATATTATGCAGCAGACACATATATTAAATTATCAATATATTTTTGTGGGCATTTCACAAAGTCAAATGTCTGATCAAAAACTGAAAATGCAAAACAGATAGTAAGCTTTATAAGTACCTATACAATTATTAATCATACCTTTACAACCTATATTTATTTAGGTCCTAAAATCCAACAAATAATTTAATATCTAAAGTAAATAATTAAACTTTTTATACCAAGAACAGTAATGTTTCCAAGTGTTCATATAAATCTTTATTTAAATACGTAATAGTAAAACCTCATACACGTGTTTATGGAATGAAAATATACTACCCCTAAAAATATTTTACACATTTAAGACTCACCCTGTATAACTTACTTTTTGTCCCATTCAGCAATATTATTGTCGGCCAGGTTTATATTTAACAAGTTTGGAAGATCATCCAACCCATTGCTTCCAATAGTTTTTATCTGATTCTTGCCCAGATCCAGAGTAGACAGTGTTAAACCGTTAAATACTCCATCCTCTATATTCACCAGTACGTTGTTCTTCAAGTTCAGTTTTCTTAGATTAGGAACATTTTGAAACGCACCAGGTTCAATCGCAGTCAGGTTACATTCTTCAATGGTCAACTCGTCCAGTGAACTAAGATCCGTCACTGAACCAGTTCGGAGTACCGGAATGTATTGGTTCAGGAACTCCAGATGATCGAAATACTCTTTGGGAACGTGGTCTTTGAGAGTATTCGATCTAGAAATCTTCCGGGTGAATTTTAAGGTGAACACGCTGTATCCGTGAAATTCTACATTGTTAAATGTGACATCGTCAGCAAATACTGAAATTGTATAGAAAAGAAATAATATAACACGTCCGAGGAACATCGTCGATATTTGCTGTTTGCTATTTTTTCCAAAGATTTTGATTTATTTATATACTCTCTCTTGGTTTAATCAATTTTTAATTGTTGTCTAGAGGTTAAGGATTGATAACCTTTTTCTGAGTTGTTTTTATTGATAAGTATTGTTTTTCCTCGAAGGGTTGCGAATAAGTTTATAATTTGCTATTGATTTTCTACAGTTTGAAATTTTTTTAAACGTTGTTGTTAATGATTGCTAGAATGTCGTTTCGAAGATGAGGCGCTGAAGAGATCTCTTGCTGATTTGACGTAAGCTGAACGTACAGTACGTCTGTCCGTTCTGTAGCTACGGGGTATTCGTGAGAGGGGACACGATATTCTCTCAATGTTTTTCGTAAAAAATTAGACGACGCGTCCCATCAATAAAAATTCGACAAATTTGCAAGTAGCCAATAAAATGAGTGGACGGAGCGATTTGCGGTGACGTACTCGTTAAGTCGACGTATAAAATATATTGCTGTTTATTTAAATGTTTTTTGTCCGCATTCCTTTCGTAGACACAGTTCAGAAGCGTATAGGTACACCACAACAATATCCGGAAAGCTTCGGGCTTGCGCAATACGTGGGAATGGTATTAACCATAACCTTACTTTAGGAACTAAGTAATGCCTAGCTATAGCCTTGCTACAAAAGCAGCCGTGGCTCCATTGCTAAGGCGGTGGTTTCGGGTTTCCATTTTATCAGAATGAGAACCACTATCAGAATGAGAAATTTAATCTTATCAAAAAGAAAATGAGAAAAGAGCTTTATTAAAATAGACAAATCAAAGTGACATTCATATTTAGTGATCATCATAGTCATCAAAAATCAAGTCAACGCAAACGAAGAAAAAATTAAAGCGTTGCTTGAACAACAAAAATAAAAATTCTTTTATAGGTACTGAATATGTCGTATGATCTAAAAAAGGCGTTTAGTTGGCTTGGAAATGACGATTATTGACATTTACCATAATATTTTACTTATATGAAATAACGGCGATCTTCATTTAAAAGCCAACTCAGACGCCGTTCTTTGTTTAATCATATAATATTATATTAAATTGTTTAATGATAAAAAAAATCCGTATTATTAACGTACTGTACCCAAAATCCGTAAATCTATTGATCAATCAGTAGTTTTGGCAACACTGTCTCCGGCAACCACTCATTCTGTCGACTGAAAGCAGAACTACGGTACAGTATTATGCGCTGCGCTGTAAACGACTCAGATCAGCGCGCAGTGGCGCAGTGTACAACAGTAATGTAGGCAACATAATGGAAAAACAAACGTATTAAAAAGAGATAAAAGTTGGGTTGATACATTTCTTCTATGCGGTATTGCCGGATTTTGCATCAAAAGTTCAAACCGCACAAGTAGGCGTTTATGGAGAATGTTGCATCTAGGGATGGAACCTTACTTTTCACAATTAGTTACTTATTTTACTACAAATGTAATAGAATATATTTAGCTTAGATATATTATCTTCATTTCAGTAGTATACATGAAAGTTTTTAAAATAGTTTTTTTTCTACACAAATTTTCCTACATACGTAAAACCGGCAACACTGTACGCCGCTTTTGATCTTGTCTCTCTGTCTGTCAACCGGTACATTTATATTATTCTCTGTCTTACACGTTAAAATCCAGACGACACTTCTAAAATGACCAAATCGGTATATTAGAAGTGTATTAGATAACACATTACTGTAATTTGAATATGGCCTTATAACTATTAAAAAACTGCACAATTTATTTTCTTTTACATCAGAATGGAGACCTGTGTATCAGTATCTTACACCCTCCGGTAGACGATCCCCAATCAGGCGAGTTGCCCTGCGAGCGTTGGAACCCTACCCAGAACGTCCGTACCATCCTGCTCTCATCATTTCGCTGCTCAACGAACCGAACACCTTCAGCCCGGCCAACGTCGACGCCTCTGTTATGTACCGACGCTGGCGGGACTCCAAAGGCAGGGACAAGGAATACGAAAATATCATAAGGTACCTATAAGTAACTCTAATCTTGCTTCTCTGCTCTTAACGATGAACATTTTGGATTTCTTGAAATTTTGGCCAGATATAAATTTAATTAAAAATTAATATTTTTGATCCACGTTTCAATCATTTATTTAACAGTCTTCATCGTGTTAATTAAGATCCGACCGAACCTGGATTTTTAGTCTCGGCCGAGACCGAGACAGAGGCCGAGAGAAAAAGAAATTCTGGGCCGAGAACCAGACCGAGACACGATGCAATATTTATTTAATATAGTTTATTATATGAAAAACATCTGATAATAATGTAATAACGTTATTTTCATGCAGAAACGGTTTTATTTGGGATTTACTTATATTAATAAAATTCCTTTTTTTAGTCTATGTTATAGGCTAAATAAGTCATTTTTCAGCAATGCATCCTTTCAAATTACGCAGTGTTTCATCATATTCTTTCTAAATAGTTGTTTGCTAGAGACGCTTGTTGGAGGTGAATAATTTTATTACATACAAAAATGCGAGTAATTCATATTAATTTTTGTTATTCTTTTTCTGTTTTTATATATATTTCGTTCGTTATTTACGCATCGGCAATTCTTCAGCCGTCCGGGAAATCCCCTTCGTGATTCGATCTTCGATCAGATCATATATGGACCAGATATGATCCATTCTTTTTTTTTTCGACTTCGGGCGAGAATTTCATTCATCTACGCATTGATAGGTGGAGCGATACGCAGGATACGCTCAAAAATAAGTTAATTTGACGATCGTGAGCAGTCTCGGCCGTGGCAGGGCAACGGCCCAGCTACGTCGAAATACCGGTTCCCATTAGAACACCGAAGTTAAGCGACGTAAGGCGATACTAGTGGATGGACGGGTAACCGGTTCGAAACTCTGTATCGTGCTGTTGTCCAAAAAAGGCAAAAGTGTCAAATCTATTGACACACACTGCTCATTCACGCCGGTTCGAGGCCGGATGAGATCGGATATCTCGTGAGTAAGAGTCAATTTAGACACTTGCCAAGTCGGTAGGCAATTGACCATGATATGGCCGACAACCGCGGTTCGGATTCCGCGTACACAAAGTAGGCCCCGTCCAGATTAGTCCTGGCAGCAAAAAGGAGACGTTAACTGAATTCTTCACTTACTTTACTTTACTTTTCGGCCGTGGCATAAAAACGCCGAGACGTCTCTTTATGCCGAGAACGAGACCGAGATCTCGGCCTGATTTTTAACCGTGAATGGTCCGACCGAGACCGAGATCTCGGTCGGACCTTAGTGTTAATTATAACCATAAAGTGATAAAAATAATCAAAAGTCCTCCATAAATCCGCATTTGTTTGCACGCAAACATATACGGCGATTGACGATGTCTTGACCGTAACTTTCGTGAAAATAGAGGCCCGATACAAAATACAACGATTCATGGCGCAATGAAAGTACTCTAGTTTGTAGAGTATTATATGGTTTCTACATGAATATTAAAGATATTTTTCTTGTTTTAGAAAGCAGGCAATGGCCGCAAGAGCCGAAGCTGAGAGAGATGGAATCCAAGTACCGCTCACGCTAGAAGATTATTGCATAAAAACACAGGTAACTGTTAAACCAAAAAATAACTGATAGATATATTCTGATATTAGAGAGTTAAAGCACTGCCAAAGACATATACGCAAACGTATCGTGCACCAATGGCTAAAGAATACAAAGACACGTAACGCCCATATGCGGGCTGACGCAGAATTTGTGTTGTACGCCATTTTTTTTTGGAGGCACCGATATGTTACGACTCACCAGCGACAATTTTAGCGATTTTGTTGTGTGTAGTGAACTTCGTATAAACTTTATTACAATGGTGATTTGTTCAGCTTTCAAGTGTAAAAGCCGCAACGATAAGAAAGAGCCAGGAGTTACATTTCATAGGTAAATAAACAGTCGACTCCATCTTTTTGGCGTTTTCGTATTGAATTTGATGATTATTTTTCTGATATTACATGTACAGTGTGTCCCATTTTGGTTGAAATCATAGGGTATCTCCGTTATTAGTGAAGATAGAAGGGTGCGGTTTGCACAAACCTGTCCCACTTTTTCGTCAAACGGAAGATGCTGCAAACAAAATTTTCATACCCCTCTTCATTTCTGAGCTACAGGGTCTTTTCGAAAATTTTGCAATTTGGGGCACCCCCTGTATCTCTGTTATTGTTAAAGGTATCGAGAAGGCGAAAACTGCTTATTGTAGAACTTTTTACGTAGAATACAGTGGCGTAGTCTGTTTTTCTACCAAAAAAATATTTTTGAAAATATGAACTAAAGTTATGTTTTTTCAAACGGAACACCCTATATATTTATAAATCATATGATCTGTTTTGCTATGAGCTTCTCAAAAATATATATCACTCTATATTTATTTTTACTATTTACTGCAATATTTAAAATATATCATTTTCTTATTAGTAGGCCGTGATAAATAACAAAAAATCAAAATGGTATTTACTAAAATAGTCATACACATATTAAAATTTATCTGGGATTGATATATTTTACTTTCGAAATAACTGTTACCACTGAAACTGTGAATATATTTTTCTTTTTTTATAACGGGATGGGTTTGCAAATATCTAAATCTTGAATTATTAAAGCATTTTTCAGGTGTTCGAAATTGTTGTAGTGCCCACGATATATTTCGTATTTCGAAAATCCTCAAAATCAGAAATCGAGAACGACGAAATCCGGGAATCGAGGAGGCTATCAATATGTGTTCATTGGTTCCAATTCATTGATTTGAAAAATAATAATTTAACAGTATTCTAATATTTCCATAGTTATGTGGGGGAATGTTCCCCATCTTGCTGAAAGTATATTTGACGTAAATTAGCTAAAGGAATATCTAAAATTTCCGATACGATAGATTAGTCTTACGTATACACGTATTCCAAGATTTACAAATAGCGGTAGAGACTTAAGTTTCCCTAATATATAAAGAATTTATTAGCGGCTCCCAAAATAAAACAAAAGACAGATAGCAGTATACTTTTAATAATTCTTTAGATTCTTTTATTATCAATCATGGCCTACTAATAAATATGATCTTTTAATAAAAACTTTTAAATATTGCAGTAAATAGTGAAAATAAATATAGAGTGATATGTATTTTTGAGAAGCTTATGCCAAGACAGATCATATGATTTATAAATATACAGGGTGATCCATTTAAAAAAACATAACTTTAGTTCATATTTTCAAAAATATTTTTGGTAGAAAAACAGACTACGCCACTGTATTCTACGTAAAAAGTTCTACAATAAACAGTTTTCACCTTCTCGATAGCTTTAACAATAACAGAGATACAGGAGGTGTCCCAAATTGCAAAATTTTCAAAAAGACCCTGTAGCTCGGAAACGAAGAGGGCTATGAACATTTTGTTTACGGCATTTTCCGTTTGACAAAAAAGTGAGACAGGTTTGTGCAAACCGCACCCTTCTATCTTCACTAATAACGGAGATACCGTATGATTTCAACCAAAATGGGACACCCTGTACAGTACGTCGCGTCGATCCGTTCTGTAGCTAAGGAGCATCTGTAAGGGGGAAACGAAATTCTCTATTAACCGGCAATTCATGGGCATGCCATAAATATTTTAGATTAGCAAAAATTTCAAAAATGCCCAAACAGTTTTATTTTTTCAATGTTTTTCCACGTAAATTAGACATAATCTCTACTAAAAATTAAAAAATATGAAGAAAAACAATAAAAAATCATTAAAATCGCGCAACTATTTTATCGATAACGACTGCACTGTTCTCCAAGCTCGGTCTGCTACCGTTTTAATCGATGTTTCATGTAAAAAATTAGACGACACGTCCCGTCAATAAAAATTCGACATACTTACAAGTAGTTAATGTAATGAGTGGGCGGAGTGTGTTTTGCAATGACATACTCGTCAAGTCCACGTGGACTCTCTGCTCTCTGCCGCTTGTATATAGGTAGCGATCTATAAAATATATTGCTGTTTATTGAAATGTGTTTTGTAGTAAATTGATCATATTCCGATATTGTGTCTGCATTCTTGAAATTCCTCAGATCCCTGAGGAATTTTCGGGGGAGATTCCTCAGTGTCTGCACTCTTGAAATGACACAGATCCAGTAGACGTACTTTACTTGATATGTGTTATATGTCGATACTAGTTTTGTACCTTTTGTTAACATTTTAATACATTTTTTTAATTAATTAGTACGATACCACTTAAATAAGTAGCATACCAAGGGCTGGCAAAGGTTAGTCTTGGGTCGAAATTTCCGTATGTAAGAAGAGTACAATGCGTTTATAATGTGCTGAACAAAGAGAGAACAGTAAACACGTTGCCAAACGTACGAAATAAACCGAGAAACTATGCACATTGCAAAGAGACGTGGAAGGGGATACAGCAGATTTGTTGCAGTCGACCGGTTGACCCAATCAGTACCCCTGTCAGTACTTAAGGTTCTTGGGAAAGGTGTACATCATGCGTTCAGCTTCACGATTTAATTACGTCTCGTGATACTTTATTTGTTTATTTATTAATGAGTCGTTGTAATTTTCCCTATAGCTTGAAAATTTTTAAGTGCAAGGTAGAAACACTTGCATTTTTGATATAAGTGGAATTGTGTTGGTGTTCGACAGTGGTCGCGCTATTAAAACTCTGAATTCAAAAATCGCTATCTCGAAATCTATTAGAAATAATTGATTGTAGTTTTTCAAAAACTTTCTTCTTTTTATCTTTATAAATAAAAAAGTTACACGATTATTGAAATCTGCTATGCACTAAAAGTAAATGAATGGGTTGTTTAAAATTTTAGAATGGAAAAAAACAACCTTATCGAATTTTTCTTATGTAAACAGATTGTAAATGATCCGATCTTCAAAATAAAAAAGCTTCAATATCTAAAGTGGTTTTTAAGTTATGGCGTGTTATGTGTTAAAAAGTTAAATTTTTAAATTATCGCGATTACCTATTGACGTTTTCTCGTTATAAAAAAATGCACACACTAACGATATTCTTATAATTTAATTTCAGATGCTCAGAAACATATCTAATGATTTTATCTAGTTACCTTTTCGAAAAAAAAATCTTAAAAATAAGAGGTTTGCGATCGTGATGGAACGCAACAGTACACCGTCGCATTTCTCTCACTCCGACTTAATAAGATCCCTATACAATTTACTTCCACACATATAAATACCAACCCAAAAGTAACAGTTGCCAGCACGGTATACCATAGGCGTAGTCAAAACATTTATCAAAAATATAAATATCTCTTCAAGCAGCTAAGTTAATTTGGTCTCGGGTGTTTTGGTCCTTGTATTCTTTAGTCATTGGCTTGCGCAGTGAGAAATTCACTTGCGTTTATGGATACATGATACATATCTTGCTTACCTTTACAAGAACATCTAAGAACATTTTAAGTTTTAAGGACTACTTCCTATATCATAATTCTCATTATTTTTTTTTCAACCTTCGATATTACTTTTATAAATTTAATATGGAATCAGTGGAATGTCAATTTTCAGTTTTAAAATTAAAAAAAAATCGTTTCGCAAAACAATTTGTAAATACAAATGTACCATTTACGTTACGTACGTCAAAATACTTGCTTACACGACAACGCAACCGCAGACGTAACGTAACTTTCTAGGTTACGTTTTCTGTGTTCAATAGATACATATAAATGTTGTGCCATGCTTTAACTACCTATTTTGTACAGTCTGACCATGAAACTTGAAGTTAGTCTAATTCTTTTCTAAAGTTTGAACTTGGTGCATATCTCTTACTACTCACTTCTGTTTTAAGGTAAAACCAAGCAATTCCGAGTCCCAAGTGGAAATGACAGATTTCTACGACGACGACTACGATGAAGACTACGATGACGTGTCCGATGGATCCGAATACGCCGACGAAGACGACAATGACAGCGGTAACGGGGAGTCGTGATAACGTCGTAATATAGATGGCGCTTGTACATTACTTCACTTTCTTAATGGCGGAATAACCAGAAATAGCATGAGCTCAGTTTTCAATTCACTCGCACTTTGGTGGTCTAATAAGACTTGCGCCTACTAAAAATTTTGATGATAATCAATATTTTATGTAGAATCCCGGCAATTCAAGTCTGTCAAGTTACATTTGATTTTTGTAAATGTTTTTAGTCTATTTCATAGTATCTGAGTTTATTTGCCTGACTCCATACTCCAACGTTTCTGATTTTATACTATTTTTTACATAATTTTTTTATTTCTGTTAATGATTTATTGATCTATACCGGTGTTATATAGATTTAAATTTTCAGTTTATTTATTTGAAATGCCATTTCTGGTTATTCAGCAATTTTTCCTTTTTTTAATTTATTTTTTGGGACTAAAATTGTTTTTTTATTCTTCTATGTCTTTTTTTGTAGGGATCTTGAAAAAAATATATATTTTTTAAATATTGGCTGTCAAAATATGGGAGCGTATTTTCTCTCTAATAAAAACTGGAAATCAAATATATTTTATTTAATGTTATATATTAATTGAATTATTGAATTATTTACCTTATGCTTGAGGGACGGTGCAATAAATTGCAGCAAATATTCTAGGTTCATTTATTTATTTTATTTATTTCGCTTTTTAGTATTTTATTGTTTTTACTTGAATTCCTTATCTTTAATCCTGAAAAATAAAATAACGAAGGATAAAATATGCTAAAAAATACCATTTTAGAAGACAATGCTAAATAGAGGAACAAAAGATAAAAGAACTTTTAATATAAAGGTATCTTTTAATTAATCGATCTCAAACCATACGATTAGTTTATCTGTACATATTTTGAATTACTGATCCATGATCAGTACCATCAGTTAAAATAAAACAAACAAATACTTGATGTGTTTAACACTTTAGTTTATAGCTCTGGTTATAAAACAAATTCAACTGTATATAAGATTTCATATAATATTTTGTGTATTTATTTAGATATATCATAGATAAGTGTTTCCTGAGCTCGAAGGATGTCCTGATTGTTCGGATGGCAACGTCTTGTTATTTTTTTATTGTGAATGTTAATTTACGAATTAATTTGGACTAACATTCACACAAATAAAACTGATGTGATTTTTCAACTAAATATAGGGATAAAGATGTTCTGGAAAACTGCTGTATAATAAAATAGAGTATAAATAAATACGTCGGGGAATAACCCCAAAAAAAGTCGATGTTGAAATGTATGGGAGAGTTAATAATATTGTCGTATAATAGAATTACTTATGTGTAGCTTTAGTCTTGCTTTTTAACGGTCAAATTGAGTTTGTACTACTTTAGTATAAGAATTTGAATAAATGTTTGAAATATGAATTCATATCTTTTGATTTGTATTCCTAATGATTTCATATGAACGATAAGGAAAAAGAACGGTCGATATCATATTGTAGCTAACATTTTTTAAACATTTTTAACATTTACTTGCCAACTATCATGTTAAAGATACCAAAATGGTGATGGTGGATATTAGGTACGTCGTCAATCTTGAAGTTATTGATGTACATTTGATATTAATATATCCTACAATTAATGTTTTAACATTTTAAGTACGGATACTCGGCTAAATGTACGAGATTTTTGCAATAAAATTATTTATTTTTGGAGGTTAGACTATAGCTTTCTTTATTAAGTTTAATAAGAGTGACAAAGAAGACGCAGATTTAGGTTTATTTGTCTTTTGATCGCGTCTGCGTATATCGCTGGCGGTAACAATGAAATATTGAAAATCGGGATTTTGTTTTATTTATACTTAAATTTCCTATTAATTTAGAAAAAGAGCGGTAGCGATATTAAGCTGATAAGAATAGATATTATATTTTGATCTGTGTTAAAGTTTGAGAAGAGGATCACAATGATAAAAACGCCCGCCGTAACTGAGTTTTGATTACATTGGTTATTACAACATTTTTTTGGGGGGGGTTTGTTTTTGGTGTTATTTATGGACGATCCGCACTTTTTTCGTTAGAAAATGTCATTATAAGTGTTCCTCTTCTTAATTCTATATAGAAAATTTTGACGTAGCTAAAGTCTACCAGACCCCAAAAAATTATTACTGTGTCCGTTATTATTTGAACATCGTTTGATAAATTCAATTACCATTTATAGCCGGTGTTATGCCTTTGCCACACTATGCTCCTCGCGCTGCTCATCGCTCTACTCCTCGTGCTACCGCAATGTTGTCCTCTCCGCCCACATTCTGCTCCGCTCGCGTAATTACTCGCAACGCTCTGCACGCCGCACAGTGTAACGAAATCGGGAAATGCAGGACATTAGCCCAAAAAACAAATAATTTAATTCATCAAGTTTTTTATATAGATGGATAAAGGACATCCCAGAGCCCCACCATGTGAGATATTTCTGGAGTTGACCTCTTAGTCGGGGAGTTATGGAGGGTTAAAGTTATGGTTTCCTTAATTTACCAAATCTGTACAAAAATTTTATACAATGAAATTTATTATTTTCAGAAGTTTCCTTGTGTTGTTCAATTCCAACAATTTTTTCCGTAAAGAGAGGTCTTTTACCAACAACAAACCTGAAAAAAATTTCCCTAAAATTGTGTCTACATGTTTATTATGACTTTCAAAAAAACGCTTACTTTCGCTCAAGGTTATATCACAGAATATCAGCGTAGCTAGATATTCTGTGGTTATATATACAAAATATCATAGAGTGGACCTTCTAGTATACTGTTACATATAAATTTCATCCACCTAGATCCGAACCTGGAAGAAAAAATTCAATTTCTTCGGCAATAATTACGTTTTCCATTAATTCGACCGTAGTTTTTATCCGTAATTTTTTGTGCTATAATTTCTTTATTGAAAAAGCTATACGCTTGCTATGAACATACTGAATGCTATTTTAGGGGCGAGGAACCATCCTCACATAGGGGTGGGGGACAGTTTACAACAATTCGGAAAATCTCAACATTGGAGAAAAAAATACTCAAGAGAATATTTTTTCAAACCGGCAAAATTTTCTTCGATGTATTTAACACTCTACCCTCAATGCTGCATCAATGTTGGTGCCAAACTATTGAAGATATATTGCACAACTTATTGATATATTCAGATCCTCTACTTTCACATCTGCGACCAAAGCACTCTAAAAATAAAAAAAGGAGACTTGTTTCCGGAAGCGAAAGAGCTCTTGTATATGGCTGGAGAAGAAATTGAGAATTATTTTTAAGCATGTTTTATGTAAGTGCCTTACATATTATGTTATTTTGGAATAATATACACCCCACATAAATTATCGCATCACTTATTAATTTGGAAAACTGCAAAATATTTTTAAATTCTCTTGGTTAACAATAATCTCAAAAGTTATTTGCATTAATAGCAACTTGTTAAGGAATGGAAAGTATATCATAACTCAGGCAGACCTTAGATTTAAGTTTTTCACATAAAAATGTTTGAAGCGCTTCAAGAATAAATATTACGAAAAATATAAGTGTTGCGAAATGTTTTGTGAGGTGTGTATTATGGTTTCCTTTGTTGAAGTTGAATACGTTTTCTTCGCATATTATCATATTATTTAATACTGTTAAATGATATATAACCACTTGTGTCGTTCTCTTTGGGTTTTGCAGTCTTATCTAATTTATCCCTGATTATTTGAATATTTAGGAATGTTGAATGAGTTTTGACATATTAGCGGGAGATAAATGATTGTTCGACAGTAATTTGATAACGTTTTTGGTCCGTAAGAGCTATAAACTCTTCGTAAATAAAAAAATATACCTGTAAAGTCCTTTTATAAAACTTCGTATTTTTTTGGCCTTCCTTTACGCCTTTTTTTACTTTTTTCGCCCTGTAGCAAAAATTCCTAATCGTATTATTTAATTTCTGTCAAAAAATGTCAGCAAGAATAGTGATAACTGAAGAAAAATATCAATATCCCACTCACGGTGCAAAAACTTAAATGGCAGGATTTGGAACAAGAATTGCCAAATCCTGCTGTCAGATGGCGCCACTGTCGATTTAAAAATACATGGCGGGGTAAGAGGGAAGGAAAAGTTTCTTCCCGCCACCCGTCTCATCATAATATTTCCTCATTTTTCCCGGCAGCCATCAGTGCCTAACACAGAATATACTAACGAAAAAGAAGCCCAAGTTCCTTGTAATAAATCGGTTCCATTTTCGTAACGCCATCTCTCGACATAGCTGACATTATAGGTTAGCCAAAGGGGTGTGGGGCCGGGGGGAATTGTAAAATACACTTTTTTATTTTAATTATTTTTATTCCCTATTTGCAATTTTATTTTAAAACATATAATATGAAACAATCACATAATATGTCTTAAAAATAAAATTACAAACGGAAACAAAAGGAATTAAATAATCTGAAAATCTACAAAGTTTATTGATAAAAAGTTAGGCTATGCAAATTGATAAGTATATTAAGTATAACCTCTTTGGTATAACATTGTTAAACAAACATTAACAAATCAACATATCAGATCATAGAACTAAAAAAGTACTATTACATAAAAACAGGTGATACAATACTTCAAAATTAATTTTAACATAATATCAAAACCGAAAAATCAAACTGCAAACACAACCACACTTATCACAATAGAAATTAACACACACTTCCGCGGCAAATGTCCAAGAAAAGACTGATCATTCTGATTGGTCCTGGTCCGGTCGTAGCTCACGTCGTATTGTCGGTAAGCAAAATCCCTGTCCAAAAATTTTGACGATCAGCGCCATCATCCGTCATAATTGGGAAACTTTTGCTGGAACCATTTTTAATATTTCACTTACATGGCCCTGGTGCCTAACTTTTTCTGGAGCTGAGAGGTATGTGTTTTGTGGTTGTGAGTGTCGTAGTGTTCATTCTCAAAGTAAAGACGTTTTATGTTGTGTGCCCGGCCTTTTATAGTGTATTATTTTAAATTAAGAACTTTTTATTTTGTGTATCCATTTAGAGTGGATTTCTTTATATGTAAGTACCTAGAAATTAGTTTATAATAATATAACCTGCTCGATAACAGCTAGGTTAGGTTAGGTTAATTGTACCTTGGAAATGGCTATCGATGGAAGATTGATATTCATTAATTGGTTAGATTTACTAATATAATTTACATTTTGAATGCCATCAATTGTCATTCCTAAGGTAGCTTGATGCAGCTTTTCGTAATCGTATGGTACAATATGATCGAAAAAAAACGGCGTCACCGTTGGCTATGAAATGAATATCGCTGTCATTCTCTCTCTATATGTAAAATTTGATGAGGAATGTCATCGACCGCGTCATTCCAAGCCAACTTGACTCCGGTTTTTTCGATCATACGGTATTACTTTAGTATTACCATGTACCTAGGTATAGAAATTTAGAAAACAAAAAATACAAAAATAGTTGTATATATTTTATCCGAGCAATAATTGTAATGTTTAATTTTTAGTTGCCTATAAATTTAATGAGCCGCATTTGTATTGTAAAATTTCGAAATCTACAAAAAAAAGGAAAAAATAAATAAAATTTATAACAAAAATAACTGATTTTATTATAAACTTCCTTGTCATATCTGGTATATAATCAATTCACATGTGTTATTAATCATACACCTATTATTAAGTTAAATCTGATAGTACTTTTTGATTTTGGTATAGAAAATATTGTAATGTGATTTTTACCGCATGTGTATTGTTTAACGATTATAGGCTAGATATTTGTTTGGCAAGTATATTAAATCAAACATCTTTTACAACATATTTTTTAAAAAATATATTGTATAAGATGTTTATTTAACTTTACTTGAAACAAATTATCTGGTATAAAATCATCCTAGTTTAAATATTGTATGATCGAAGAATACGGCTTCAAGTTAACTTAGAAATGACTATTGATGACATTAACCATATAACTTTACAAAGAAAATGTTATCAATCGTCATTTTTAAGTTAACTTGGAATCGTTATTTTTCGAACATACGGTATATTAAATTAATTAGGTGTAATATAATACTATAGATGGCGCTGCCAAAATTGCTTTGAATGCAATGCAGATTTCTTTTTAAAATTTAATTGCAGATTTCTTTTTTTTAATTTAATTTGTAGTTCTAAATCCGTGTCATAGATGGCGTACCAAAATGTTGTCCTAATTTTTTGTACGGAAGATTTCGTTCTGTTTTAATCTGTTCTGTGATCCCACTATTTTAGTTTTCGTTACACTGTGCGCCGCTCTATTGCCGCTCCTTTGACTTGCGCCCAAAAAACCGACAAAACAGGGAAAGGGAATGGTTTGCAGGAGGAGGAGCAAGATATGCAGCATGACCATCAGCATGACGAGTGATGAGTAATGTTGCCATAGCTAAATGTTGCCACACTACGTTTCTGCCTCCTTCCCTCGCTACTTGTCGCTACTTCGTTAGTATATTCTGTGGTCGCTACTTCCTATATGCCACTCGACGAGTGTGTGGCAGGGCCATTACGAATCAGGGAAGATTTCGACAAACGACATCCAAAAAATACAATTGTCACTGTCAGAAATCCTTGTGACAGACTATAGCAGTGCTATAGCATGTGTTTGGTACTTGGTATTTATCAACAGATTTACTTAAAATTCCTATAAAATGGACATCGTACATCGTTGTCTTTTTTCGCTGACGCTTCACGCTTCATATATTGGCATACTCAAAACTCATATTTTTAAATCCCTTACCATACTAAAAAAACGGAGTCACAGATCGCTTGGAAATGTAGATCACTGTTATTTTATATGTAAAATTAAGGCAGAATTAAGGTAAAATTATACCTGCGAAATCAAAGTGTCATCCATCATCATTACCAAGCCAACTGGACCTAGTTTCTATTATGGTATTTTAATATAAAAGTAAAAAAAAATAATACGATCCTGTCGAATATTTAAAAATATCAGTCATAATAAATCTTTAAATATAATACAGTAATAAATTTTGCATAACGTAATAAAGCAGCAAAGTCTACTTAGTGCATAATTAGCATGACATAATTAGTATTAATTTTTTATTTGAATTTCCTCGTTCTCGTTTATTTATAAACAAAATTTAATGTGATCAAAATACATAATAGGCCTTGGTTTCCATCGGTGTGTTGTCAACTTGTCAACGTGACGTGGAAGTGGAACTCGATTCGCATTCGTCAGCAGGATTTGTTTTCGTTAGGTTAGTTTTGCAGGAACAAGTGATAGAAAAAGTTAACTAGATTTATTAACATATTTTAAATTATTATTTTTGAATTTTTTGAATAAAATATGTCGGGACAGTGGGAAGTTGTTCGAGGAAAGAATGATCGTCGTAATAACAAAGTAGCTCTTCCAAAAACATCTAATAAGCCTTCGGAACCCAAAAATAAAAAAAACAATATTTTAAATGGTGTTAAAATCGAGGAAGTTTGTAAGTATATAATAAATTTATTTGTTTTTGAAAGACATATAACTAAAAACTTTGATGTGTTAGTGCCGAAATCACAAGTTCAAAACTTATACTCTGGTAAACCTAGTAATAAGGAGAATAAACCGCAAGAGAAAGTAAAAAATATTGAAATAAAAAAATCTGAGAAAAAGCCTAAAGCCCCGCCAGAACCTTCTAAACCAAAGATTCCAAAATCTATTGAAGCTGCTTTGATGGGAGTAAGTTATTGATATATTTGTTTAGAAACGTGTGTAAAATTTTAATTATAAAAAAGCAAAGGATTCTTTAAAGTAAAATAATAGAAATAGGTCACATAGGTTTAAAGAAGGCTAATAAAGCTTATTTTAATTTATTTCAGATCAATAATGAAGAATTTAATTCAGTTTTTGTTAGATCAAAGACAGCATTTCCTGATGCACCAATTCTTTGGCTGAAGGAATTAACTCAATTTTTAAACCAAAAAATACCTCTTGAAATACAGGATCCAGTATTTTCTTCAAAATCCCATGGTTTTCCGTTAAATGTGGTATGTATTTTTACCGTTTTAATTTACTTAAGAAACTATCAAAACTTTTAGGTGCCTTCCAATCTTAGAACTACTTTAGAGAAAGCAATAAAAGAATCGGGCAAGAGTAATGCTCAATTATATTTTGATATTGCTTTGACTTCCATGGTAACAGATTTAAGTAAAGGCCTTCCAGCCGTAGGATATAGATTTTTCTTGCAACATATAGCAATGAACGAGCCTAAACTTGTAACAGATAATCTTCCTAAACATATAATCCTTCGTAACTCTTACCAAAACAGAGCCAATATTGCCTTATCGATTTTGTGGGCTGTGGGACATGTGGGTATAAGTGACTTAAATTGTGGTTTGAAAGGTTAGTATAATAGGTACTCGAGATAATACATAGTCTAAGAGCTAGCAACGTTTTCGTGAAAGTATTTTAAGAAAGCTGGCTCTTTAATATATCTTTTGCTATGCTCTCTGGAACAGCATGCGAGTCGTGTGGCTGCCGAATTTATTCCGTTAAATTCTAGTTTTGAATATAAATCGAACAAGTCTCCATAGCGGCGCGAAGACGTTCAACCTATAAAACGAGAAGTCCAGAGTTCAATACCGCCTCGGGGTAAACTTTTTTTAATCACCAAAATTATTTAATACTTTACTATTAGAGTATAAACGAAAATAAAATAAAAAAGTTTACCCTGAGCAAGTATTGAACTCTGGACTTCTCGCTTTATAGGTTGAACGTTTTCGCGCCGCTATGGAGACTTGTTCGATTTATACTCAATACTAGTATTTAAAAGAGTAAATAAAGATATAGGAACTTCTTTCAATATGCAGTAGTGAACTGAACGTCTATCGGCAGCCAGACTGCCTGCCCGCCACTGCCCGCTGTTCCGAAGAGCATAGTATATAGATATATCTTTCTTAAAATACTTGTTTTCCAGACATTGCAAGCTCTCATACTATTATTACTATCACATTTTTTTATATTTTTAGTGTTTGAAGAATTGATGTTGCCACTTTTAGAATTGAAAAATTATTCCCATTACATTGTAAGATATTTATTAGAACTTACTAGTAGAAATTATGAAACACAAATAACAAAGGACCAATATTTACTAATTTTGGATGTTATTTACTCAAACAGAAAAAACTTTCCAGTGGCATTGCAAAAAGACTTGACAAAAAATTTATCAAAACTAAAAGCATTATTGTTTAAAAACAGTAAAGAAAAGTATCACAGTTATGTGGAACCTTTCTTAAAAAAGCTTGTTAGTAATAACGGTAATAACAATACTGGTTACCAGACAGCAATATGTGATATTATTGTTGAAATTTTTACTAAAGACCATTCGACGTTGGCATCGTGGAATAAAGTGTATGCCAAAAATTTACCAGCAAGTGCCACATTGTTAAACTATATAAGTATGTACTATAATTTTCAGTATAAATTCCTAAGTAACTATATTTTTTTCTGTAGGTGATAACTATAATAATATTCATCCTAATCTTCAAAAAGCGATAAAGAATGTATTATTAAGTTTTGCAAATATTAATCAAGAACTGTCTTTAAAGAAACGAAAAGATGAAGGATTGAAGGACGTTATTTTAGGAATAGAGGTGAGCATATTGATTATACTTGGATTATACCGTATGATCGAAAAAAGACGGCCTCCAATTGCTATGAAATGAAGGTCGCTGTCATTTTATAAGTAAAATTATATGGGGAACACCATCGATGTCTCTGAGCGATGTTCATGATGTTCATTTCCAAGACAACTGGACGCCGTCTTTTTCAATCACACGGTAGTTATTTATTCTTGTAACAAAATAAATTAAGTACGGACCTGACGCTTTTTATGGATTTTGATCAACAAACTGTCAATATGCGCGCGCCATTTAAATAGCGTCTGCGCTTTCAAAAAGTTCCAATTCCATTCCTTTGCTGCGGTGTTAAAATCGATATTTTATTCTCTAAAAAGATCTTTTGTGCGTTTTCCATTTTAAAAGTCTTCCTTATATAAAGATAATCTAATTAAACTTAACAAAATGGCTTCTAAACATTCTAAAAAACAAGAGGTAGAAATTAAACATTACTTACTACTGTTTGTGGTCCCTATTTACTAATTTTAAGTATGCTTCTTTTATAGAAACTCCAAGAGAGAAAGCCTACTGCTAAACGACGAGGAGGATTCTTTAAAAAATTATTTGTATTTTCTATATTTGCTGCGATAGTCTTTATATTTACTGAACCCTTACGATATCCCAGTAAACCAAGAGAGGAATTGTTCATAGTGCAGTTAACCAGTAATGTTACAAATTTGGCAGTAACAGGATTAAGTTGGGTAGATGCAAAACTTGAAGATAACATTCCAGAGCAATATGAGCTAGTAAAAATTTTTGTGAAACCTTATTGGTCTCTAGCAAGAGATGTGGGCAAGATAGCATACAATATACAAGAAAATGCGAGGCAAAGTTGTATAGGATATGTAAAGGAAAAATACCCTATTGTGTTAGCATCTGTAAGTATTTTAGTTAGACTTGTCTATAAAGAACTAAGACATATTTTCCTTAGGTTGATAGTTATGCACCAGGGTTAATAGACAATACTCAGACTATCTTTAAAGATGCATTTACTAAATCCATATATTACTATCGTACCAGTGTGAATTATTTACAAAAAGAAGTATTTGTGTAAGTAGTTTATCATAGCTTTAGCTTTCTGCTATATTTGATAAGAAATTGTACATAATTATTAGAATATTTATAAACAAAATATTTTCTATTTAATCTTGTTTGTTTATGCTTGTAGCTTTATCAAAAGTAAATTTCCATGCTTATATTTATTATTTGCTGTTTCTATTTCAGTGGACAGCTCTCACCAGAAAATATTCAGAGAGCAGTAATTCAAGCATATAATACCACTTCTGAAAAAGCCATTGAATATTATCATTGGGCCTACGAAAAGGTTCAGACATCAATCAAATAATTTGGCAGAAAATAGATCTTTCTTAAAATATAACTGATTCATACAGGTGTTTAGGTTTCTATAAATTCATTTGAGTATTCAGACAAGACTTCTAACTGAAAATAAAAATTAATTCATATTTTTTTACTGTATAAAATATTTATTTAGGTAGATGTGTTGTTATCAAGACATATATGTTGTTAAATAAATTTTTTTAAATAAAAATTGTTTATTGCTTAAAAAATAACTTCAAAGTGTTCTCATGAATTTGTCTGCCTAATTCTGGAACTGGTTCATTCTTAACAGCTGCTATAACATCTAATACTTGCCTAGAACAATATATCTGTATTTAAAACTACACAGACAATACCTAATTATCTTAATTACCCTATATTGGTTGGTTCATTTCTACTTTTAACCATGTGATCTTGTTTCCATTTTTCTTTTTTAACAGATGGAATTGATTTATTTTCTTCTGATATATATTTGTAGCCAGCATGTGTTGGTCTAATTTCACACCAAGGACAATCAGTCTCTATCAAGATCTTTTCACTAGGTATATCTTTAATAGTTTGCAAGTTTTCTTCACTTTTTAATGAGCTAAAAATTACAAGATTATAATTAACTTTTTTACTAAAATAATAGTTTTTTACCATCCATTTATACCAATATAGTATCCTAGTGTGATAAATTTTATAGCTTCATCCAACGTACCATCAAAGGAATGTACTACTCCAGTGAAGTCATGGCTTGACAAAATTGCAAATACATCTGAAGCTGCATTGCGGCAATGTAGAAACAGTGGAAGTTTAAATGTCTCGTTAAGTTGAAGTTGTCTGTTAAAGTATCTGAAATATTAAAAATACAATTTTTTTTAATACAAACATGTCAAACTGAGTAGGTACTTCTTTTGGGTATCTTTATCACAAAACTGTAAACGATCATAGTCTAAACCACATTCACCTAATGCTACTACTTTACTTCTATTTTCTTTCACTAAATTGCCCAAGCTTTCCAGGTACTTAATTGGATCTTGATTGTTACTTTCAAATTCATAACACCTGGTTGGATGACAACCAACTGTTGCATACAGCTTGTCTAAAAGTGGGAATATTGCTAGTATACTATGAGCACTAAATTGTTACATTATTAATTAACTACCATCTGTTTTGGACATTTGAATAGCTTTTTCACTTTCTTCTAAGCTACCACCTGTGATAATTATTTTTTCTAAGCCGCTATCCCAACTCCTTTTCAAAACATGGTTTAAATCAGGTTCGTGCTTCTTTGAGCCATTATAAATACCTTGGTACATAGGATCAGTAAGGTTTGCGCCTATATCTGTAAAACACAATGTCTTTTAATTATGGGACACCTTCGCATTTAAAACATTTTACCAATAAATCGCTTCCGCCAAGTCATTTTGTTAATTTTTGTATCAAAATCATAGAAAAGATCAAAACCATAAAAGGATGTTTTGTTGTTAAAGTTAAAATAAAATGCGGCATTGAGGTTAAATTAAATTTGGTATGATCTGGTATGATCACGGTATGATACTAAAGGTGGGTTTATATGGGTTTATACCATGGTACAAAGAATACAAGGTATGATATTGCGCAGGTTGGTCGCTATACTCTGTTTTTTTTCTCAGGTAAGATTTCGACAGACGATGGCCGAAGAAAAGCAGATGACGTCCCATACCAATCTATTTATTTTACTAAAAATAAGTTTTTTTTTTTTTTTTTTTTAAGTTTAACTATGGGTGGGTTTAAATATAAATTCGTCATGCGTCGTCACGTTGTTGTTTTAATTTTATTGTTTATTCAAACAATGACAGATCGTATTTCAATTTTTTTGGTTTGACGGAACGATGAACGATGAACGATGAACGATAAACGGACGCCGATGCGTTTGTAATGAACTCGCCTTTAGATTTTTGACGTTTGTCAAAGTCTTGCCACATTATAGGTTATAATTTTTGTGACAACTTTTGACAAATACCCTGCGTTTTTGGGAAATGCTGAATTTTGATTTGTGTTATTACGTGTGTTTGGTGTCTTTTGAAGTCAGTGGTGGACAAAATACGAGTGAAAATTTAGACTGTAGAACCAGGAGACCGACGTTTTATGGTTAATACACTCTGCCCAGGCAGAAAGTCTTATACAGATACCCCAATAAAGTTACCATCAATTAAGTTCGTATACCATCTCGTTGTAGATACGTGCATCTCGAATATGGTAGCAGGACCATACTAAACACATACTAAAAACTGGAGTAGCTGTAAAATATCGACATCACACGATAGGTAAATAATGGATTTTAGTACTGCAGAAAAATAATGTCAAAAGGTACTGGTTGTTATCGACATTTAATGGTATGCAACCCGTTATACAGCTAGAGCCTTGAAAAATGTGACGTAGAGGAAGAGAGGGGAGTATTGGAAGAGAACTGTACAGCTAGAGAGCATGGCTAGAGAGTATAATGAGTGCGTTCCACTAAAGCGCTCATAATGCTCAAAACGCTCAAAATATGCCTTCGATAGTGATGGTTGATCCCAATATTTTTAAGGATCAGTTTGGAACTGATCCCATGTACACAAATACCTGATCCCGGGATCGTTCCTGATACCAATCCCAATTGATCCCAACCGCTGTTTAAGCTGTTTTCGATTCGCTCTGATTTGACTTCATAGTGCTTGTATGATGCAAGCAGTGTTGCCAGAACTACGGATTAATTCGTAAATTAGTTATATATTGTTTATTTCTGTGACAATTACTTGAAAGGTCATAAGTTTATTTTCTAAGTTTTCGGGAAAATGGCGTTAAAGTTTTGACTAGTTTAAGTTGGCTTTATTTTAAGTTATTTTTATCTAAATTAATTTTTTTTTTTTTTTTTTATAAATATATTTGTAAATTTGAGAATGTATGCTAATTGAACTACATGGAAAATATCCACTTATATTAAAATATGTCAAAGATATGCCCTTTTAAGAAACAATTACCGTTTCAATAAATGGTAAAAAAGAGCATATGTCGGAATTAATTGAAAATCGCATATCATTATAAAGGTGTAAGACGACTTAGCTAGGTAAACGGTTAAACATACCGGTTACTAGAATGGTTATAAGTCGATATATTTGTGATATACAGATATAATATTTTTCTAACGAAAGGAATAAGTATACTTATCTTAGTATTCCTGTTAAGGGTGCGCATTATAAGGGTCATAAGTTTACATTTTCGATCGTTTACATCAAAAATGAAAAAATAAATCAAATATTTTTTATTTTATTTCTGACTCAAAAAAAAGAATGACAAATAAAATAAAATTCTTTGTTTTTTTTTTTTTTTTTTTAAAAAAAAAACACCCAATGTATTATTAACACAAAAGTCGGTTAGAAGAAAATAAAGCTATATTCTTTTTTTAATGTATTACTCAGATTCGTCATCGGAAATATACCTATCCACATCCGGGTCGGTATCCTTTTCGAGTCTTTTATCTACAGTCAAATCTCTGTAAAACGATTGCACATCCTTATCTAACAGACCAACAATTTCTCAAGAGATCATTTTTTTTTCAAAGAACTTATTGGTCGTGGACGATCGTATAATCTAGTCAGTTGAAAATTTTCTAAATGAGAAATGTTTTGATTTTTTCTAAAAAAACTAAATTTCTTTAAAACGGTTCCTCATCGAGCAAACTTTCTTTATAAGCGACTATACTAGTTTTCGTTGTACTCCTTAACCAGCTTACGCTCCTTAGTTTAAAATTAAACTTTTTTTTGTTTTTTTTTTTTTTTTTTTTTTTAAATATGCATAAAATTTCCATTTCCATTGGAAAATCAGAAAATAGTTCTTTTTACTGGCATTTCTCACTAACTGGTACCAATCTCTGGGTACATGGATTTCAAAAGCAGTTTTCTTTTGCCTGCTTAGAATGATCGACGTCGCATTCTAAGTGAGTATGGCCAGGGATAAGAAATTTATGGTCTATTATTTTTAGAGTAGGATGTAAGTGAATTGAATATTGAAACTGGATACTTACGTTAATATTTTGTTCTGACGCCCCACATGTATCGAAATAAAAAATTGCATGTTTATTCCATTAGGTATATCTTTAAGGAATCTATAGAGGCAAGAGGCTATTTCGTTTGCACCCCTGCTGCCAGTACACTCAGGCCACATAAAATGGCTAGATTTGCCATTAATACAATTATGTACAGTTAAATTATAAGTTGAAAGCTGTCTTAAGTAAAACATTTTATTAGTAGTTCGAAACAGGTTTTTCTCGATACTCCTCACAATACAATTTGTACATTATGTTGATATTTAACTCAGACGATAAATATTTTTTATTACTGTGTCGTCTAGAGTAATGACTCTTATAAGCTGCCGAAGATGAATTTATAATGTTTTTACCGTCATCGATTTTATATTGAGGTGTTTTATGAGGTGGTGCTGCTTTGCCTCTCAGATCTTCGTGTGTAATGCCGCTTTATGGATGATATTTTATTTCATTGCACAAGTTATAGAATTTTTTCTTTTCTCATTCACACAGGCGCGAGTGTATTACAGAAACCATGTTTGCATACACCCTTATTTCTTCACGTGAATAATAATTTATATTCTATATTTTTTTTTTTTTTTTTTTTTTTTTTTTTTTTTTTTACAGTTTTTTAGAACGGATATTTTTTTCTTGAACTATCCTACTAGCCCTGCTATAAAAGCCACCCTTCGATCGTGACTGCCCAACGACGCAATAATTTCAAAAATCGTATTTCCGTTAATTTCTATCACTAAGGACATTTTTACATTTATATTCTGCAATATCTCTAATGGCTTTAGAATCCTGGAAGGCACGGTTTTACCCCTTGCCGTTAAATACGTTTTACCTAAGTTTCGGTTTGATTTTCGCTGTCTAACCTTTTTTACAGCATATGGTTTGATATTATTAGGATTGACTATTACTTACCTAGTACTATCAATTCACTGTTACACTAGCATAACTGATCTCGATTCTACATTGTAAAATTCACCGAAGTTTGTGGTTTGTTTTTTTCAACATACCATGCCTGGATTCTCTATTCCAATGCTTCCATCATGTGTAGTTACGTCTTTATCGTAATTTTCAAGGTTGCCAAGGTTTTTATTTATATCGAGTTTTCTTCGGCGTTTTTAAGATTTGATGTGTGTGTACATTTTCATTGACAGTGTCTCTTTAGTTTCATCATCTCGTTTATTATCATGTTCACTCATTGAGTGCTCTGACTGAATATAATTTTCTTTCTATTGTACGCATTGTGTTGTGCCATTTCGCACTCACCACTAACTGTTAGTGATTCAATATAAATTTCATCCTTGTAACTGCCCGATGGATGATCATCTTGGATGTATATGTCTACAACATAATATATCTGAGAATTAGACACAATATTTTCTAATATGCAAAAGTGTTATTAAATGCCATATAGTTACTCAAGAGAATTAATTACCTCTAGGTCCAGTTTGTTCATTGCCCATTTCTAACAGTAAAAGGGACAGAGCCATCTCACCAGGATTAATCTAGGAGTTGTAGGTGTATGGTATTCGTAGATACACGGCTTAGAGACGGGGTAATTTCGTAGCATTAATATAGTCTTTGCTAAAATATTAATAAAAAAGGGTGGTAAAATTAAAGGGGACAAATTTTCACTATTAAACTTTAGCCAGGGCCAAAAGGCTTAAAAGTGACCGCCTGTATTTTTTCTAAACCATAAATCTCACCTGGGATCTCTACTGAACAAGGTTCTGGTAGAGAAATCAAATTAAAGGTTTGTTCATCGACTGTGTGTTGAACAGAATGAGTTCCTATAATACAATAAGACGGTCGCTTTAGTTTTACAAAAATACGTTCGAAAAAAATTAAAATTTGTGCAGACTTTACCAGATTCAAATGATAGGCGACGACATGCATCCATTATTCTTTGTGATCTCCACCTCATATTCACATTTTTTTTAAATAATCAGGATATAGTATAACAAAAACAAATTAAACGTTAGAGAGCTAGAGATGAACAAAACAACAACTTTAAAAATAAAGGTAAAGTTGAGGTTATGTTAAAAAATGTTAAAATGTCCCGTAAAATAAAACGACTACACAATAAAACGGATATAAGTAGATATAATACGGGGGTTTGGTTTAGTTAAAAGGTCATATGTGTATATAAAATTTAGATTCACTAAGCTTTAATAGGAAATGTAGACTTATATCCTTATAATTATATATTTTTCCTTTTACAAAAGTATTGTAGAAAATAGTAAATATTGACTTATACCTTAGTTTTTATTAAGTATTAGGATACATACACTTATGCCGGTTTTATCGAGACAAAAAATAAAAATCTAATGCAAATATATTTAGCTTATAGCCCCTTTAATGAAACTTAATCAAGTGCATTCCTAAAATACCCAATATTTACATTCATTTTTCGCTTATTTCGGACGTAAATCTACATATGCCGTTTTTACCACTAAATCTATGGTACATTTTCTATACGAATGTAGTCAAATGTTAAAACTCAAAAAAAATGACTTATGACCATGGTACAAAGAATACAAGGTATGATCGATAGCGGCTCCAATTTCGTTCAGTTTGCGCATACCACCTGTGACGTCACTAGGAAAACAATGAATAAATAAAAAATAAAGAAAGTTGACAGGAGATCTGTATTTTTTGGGGTTATGGTTAAAAATTGTTTATTTTTAAGACTTTTAGTTCGTTTAATTTAATAATTATATAAAATTTTTTTTTTTTTTTTTTTGTTAAAATAATAATTATCCTAATGCTTATGGATTTGGACGATAATAGGTAAGAATACTAAATTTATTTCTATATATTCGGTATAAAATTGTTTATTAGGTTTTAGTTTGCGATGTTTATGGTAAAGAATTTTCATGTTCATTGCCTCGGAATTCACATGAGGACAGAGATGGGGATATCTATGGAAAAGTAACCACAAGGGGAATTGTTACATCATTTAAAAATGTTGGAAGTTTATTGTTTCCCATCGAAAAGTAGAAAATGCAGATGAATGTATTGTAATTGTGTGATGAAGTAATTCCAAGGGGTGAGTTTATTATATAATTACTGGAAGTAATTCCAAGGGGTGAAGTTTATTATAATTAGTGACCTGTGCTTCTTTTTTTATGTAGATGTTTCAGGTTTTGAAGTCCATTCGGTTTGGTATTTAATTTAGGAGAATCGCATAAAGGATTATATAGCTCAAATTTCCTGGCTGTGGTAGGCAATTGTTCCAAATGCAAATTAACTTTAAGTGACTGAAATACTAAATAGTTTTACAATATGGTATATGTAAAATATATTTACTTTTAGATATTCAGTTGGGCCCGATACATTTCAAAAGAGTAGAATATTTTATATTAAATGGAGGTATTGTACCAACAACAATCAATTTATATTAATACCGGAGATTAAAAATCACAGAATAAATAATAATAATAAAAAAAAAAAAAAAAAAAAAAAAAAAAAAAAAAAAAAAATAAAAAATAGAAGTAAAAGCGATTATATTGACCGAGATTCGAACTCCGGTCTCTCTTCCTAGCCCGACTCCTTATGCCCTGCTCCATAGTAACTTGCTTAGCGATGATTCAATGACGGTATATAAACAAAAAACCAGGTTTATAACAATATCTTGACGATTTGAACTGGCGCGCGGAGCATGATGACCAATAGCGCCTGTTATCACCTGAGACGTAGCAATAATATGCGCAATATCCTTACCAGTGCCTCCTATTAAAAGATCAGCCTACGGGCAGACTTTTGACAATCCCGCGCTAGTTAGATATAACGGATTAATATATATGTTGTAGAATACATGAAGGCAATTATTCCTGGGTGGTTTGTATTTTAAAAGTGATGTAGTTTGATATGAATATACATAATATACAGTTAATAACTACAACATATATATACCTATTTATAGTAATAAATGCTTTGTAAAATAAACAGACCATACAAATACAGCAAATGTTTTACAATGTACAAATAATGTATGGGTACATAAGATAATGGGTAAAAATGTAAATATATTTTAAATTTTTGGGGTTTGAAAAAAAATATAAAAAAAAAAAAAAAAAAACATTTTAATATCTACTATTAGTGATGTATTATTATTAATTAAACAAAAAAAAAAAAATTTATATGTATATTTTGCAAGTATCAATGTTCGAAAAATTATATTTACAAATAATACAATATTATCTAAAAAAGGCATTAACTGATAACTATGAAACTAGAAGATCGCTGGCATTTATATGTTAAATTATTCGATTTTGATTTTCTTAGGATTTTTAGGTTCGGGAAAACTTTGATTAAGTTTTCATTTGGGTTTCAGTATTATTTTTATTTGGTTTAAAAAACAGTTTAGTAACTATAGCCTTCACAGTGTTGTGTCATGTGAGAAAAATAGTGTCAGGTAATCCAAAAATTACATATACAATATAATTTTTTTATAAAAAAAAATTCTACTGCAATTTTATTTTAGATATTTTTTTAAATTATTATTCTGCTTACTAAAATTATCTACATTGACTATAGAGTACTACGCAGTAAGCATTATGTGCGTGGTGTGAATATTTGCTAAATTTTTTGGATTAGTTATGTTCGACACTATTTTTTCATATGACACAACATGGTGGGTATAATGTTAGCCAGACCGTTTTTTACAAACCAAATAAAATAATGAAAACCCAAGTGAAAACTTAATCAGCGTTTTTCCCGAACCTAAATGAAAATCAAAAATTTAAATAATATTTAGAATCAAAGGTTCAAGAATATAAAATTTTCCAAGATTGTAAAATTCTAGTTAATTATTTTATGTGTATGTACAGTTATTTAGAAGTGTCATCGATGTTCATTTCCAAATAGCCAACTAGACATGATTTTTTTTCGATGTTACGGTATAATTCTTACGTAAAATGTAAATAACATTAGATCAATTCTAAAAACAAAAGAAATATAGATTTCTTGAAAATTATTTTTAGTAACACCTTTATTCTTAAAACTTAATTTTGTATTATGCAGATATACCAGTTTTATTGTTATTTTATTCATATTGTATTTAATACATCCTTAAATATTTGATATTAATTGGGTATTATAAATAATCAATGCTATTCATTAAAAGTGCCACAGACAAATATATGTTATATAATACATTATATATTATCAAACAAAAACACATTCTTCTTTTAAACTGTATCAGTCTTGTCTTTACAAAATCTTTTTTAAAATTTGAACTCAAAATGATAATCTTTTTCATGATCTCTAATACACATATTCTTTATTTTTTCCCTAGTTCATAATACCTAATTACGTGTTTGAATCTATCGAAGCTGAACCAACAGCACTTGGAGTGGAGATTCCACAATATGGTCAAAATAAACATAATTGTCCAGTTTTCATTAGTATACCATCATGGAATATTATTTTTTAAATTTATTAAAGATATTTTCAATGAAATTCTCTTGATTTATAACTCGTACCCACTATTCTTGCTCTTCCGGACATTTTAGGCTGCCTAGTATAGCTATCCTTTCCACCAGGACACAACAAAGATGAGGCATAGCACAAATAACACACTCCACTTAAGCTTTAGATGAATTGTTAGAGTCTTAAAAAACACACGGAGTCACGATAAAATTAAAAAATGTGGGCACTTTTAGGTTTAAATCACTTGCAACATTAGCAATTTTAAAATTTCTGGCCTTGGAAACCGAGAGTGACCCTATATCTAATAGTAGTTTATGTCACTTCAACTTGCAAATAATTAGTTTTTTTTGCACTACAATAATAAATAATACCAAAAATCAAAGAGTCAAAACCAAAAACCAACCGACAAAATATGAAACGGAATCTAACCCAATATCTAAGTATGTACAGCTGATGAAGTAAACAAAAGTCCGCCCGCAGGCTGATCTTTTAATAGAAGGCACTGATCATACCTTGTATTCTTTGTACCATGACTTATGACCTTTTAACTAATTGCCACAGATTTATTATATCTCATTTTTTTTTTTTTTTTTTTTTTTTTTTTTTTTTTTTTTTTTATACATTTAACCTTTTTGTTATTATAAGAAAATGTCAAAAACATATTACAATATCAACAGCTATAAATAAATTTTCATAGAATTAAAACAATACTTTTAATTTATCGTTTTATCTCATAAAATAATAAATACAAGAAGAAGTGTCTAGTCAATGTTAAATTATGGAAGCAGCGTGGCTGCCTGGGTAATTAATTTTCAGATATGGCGAGCAGGACATTTGGTATATTAGACATGACAATTTCCAGTTTTATGGGAATTTATTTCCGTTTCCGGTTTTAATGGCGGGCTGTTCAGGAGGGTTGGAAATGAGGTTGTGTACTTTTATCTCTGGTAGTAAAATGATACAACAAACAAAAAATGTAAAAATATTTTATTTTAGATTTAGAATGATAACAAATCTTCGCAAGTCAACACAATTAAAGAGCTATAATACAAGAAACTACTGTATCAATATCAAATATTTAAATATCCAAGAGATGCTGTGTTAAACTGAATTAGTAAAGTGGCTGGTGCATTGACTTTGTGTCACAGTAACTTACGA